CAGTTCTTCTTGAAGAATTGGCACCAATTTGACTGCAGTACAATAGGTTTCCTATGGTGAGGAATCTAAAAGAATCCAACATGGGTGAGTCCATAGGAGGATCACCCCAACCTGCCCAGACAAATCTGGAGGGCTGAAAGTGTCCAACACTTGCTTCTGTTGTAGAGAAGGAACTTCCAGAGTAGTCTCCACCATGAGGGTGCTTAAAAGCAATATAAGCTTTCCTTACACAAGGAACAGGGACTGGAGGAAACTGAAGATTCTCTGAATGGGGAGAGGGTATGAGTGTGATTAAATCCTGAATCTGTTAAGTAGGCCTTCAGGAAATTTTCCATTTTCTATCTACAGTGTTTGTGGAGAGGACAAAGATGAATTTTGGCAGAGGGAACTAGTCTAAAAGTTCTATGACAAAAGCCTGGCAAGAATTCTGATCTGGCCAGCATAAACTAAATATGTCAGATAAGGGCTGACAGATGGAAAATGTAGTAGGTATACAGGGACAAGTCCTTTGGACACATGGATATGTAAGGCCTCCTACCCTTTTCCTCTCTCAATAAAGGAGAATTCTGGCCATCGTCTTTGATATTTAGTACTTTCCTGGAGATCCACGGTTTTGTTGTACAGCAAGATGAACCTTAGAAACACAGACAGTATATTTATATCTATGTCAGAAAGGATCTGTGGAAAGAGGATCTTCCTTTAGAGAAAGTAAAGAAGAGAGTTAGTAGTAAAAGGAAAGTGGCTAGGGAGAAGAAAACAATTGGTGCTGATACTTTGGGGGAACACCACAAAGAATTTTTAGGGAGAGAATAAAAAATATAATGAGGCAATACACTAGTTTGGGGAATGAATAGCTTCAGGGAATAAAAAGAGAGAATTATAATAATATTTAGAAAATCATTTACACTTTCGATTTCTGGATTATAGTCCTTTGAATGCAATAATCCACAGATACGGCTATCTGAGCCTCAGAATTTAATTAGTATCTGGCATCCTACCTCATAGCAAAAAAAAAAAAAAAAAAAATCATCCAACCTAAGAACACAATCATCACCAATTAGCTTCCTCCCAGTATTTACACTGGCTTCCAAGATCATTTTATTCTGATTTCAGGAGTTGGATAGATAAAGGTTGAGTGTTGATCTCTGATGGATCTGTTTATTTCTGGTTCATCCTTATTCTTAACATTACTTGTTTCAGAGACCCAACCCAAATGAAAGGGTCTCATAAACCCTTCCACTCTTAACCAATCCCTGTCTCCTCAGCCACGGGATACTCTCAAAAGCATCCCTAAGCTTATCAACACTCCCCTATTTCTCCACTTAGAAAGAGCAAATGCCATCAGGAGAAAAATAGCCATGAATGTCAGGATAACCCCTTGCTCTTTGATATCTTGTAGACTCTAATGCCATATAATACAAAATATATACATGCATATTTATATTGCTTCTAAAGCAATTTTTCACGTTGTTCTCATTGAAAGAGCTAGTTAAAATCCTCTGCCTCCTGATTAATGATGTGGAAGTTTCCTATTAATATCATTGTAGATATGAGACACAGAAATTTTAGGTAACATGCTTAAATTCAGATCCATGACAAGCTGTGGACCTAGACTCAACCCCAGGAAGATCTGTTCCAGTGTCTATTCTCAATCATCAGCTACTTGCCTGCTAGGGAAATATATGTTGCTTTCTAGCGTTTCCAAAACAAATCATGGAAAGTCCTGAGGAATATATTTCTAACATTATGGTATTTCTCCCAAAGGTGATGATGATGATGATGATCATCATCATCATCATCATCATCATCCAGGGAATGTCTCAGTCAAAATGTTCAAAGGATCAGTTACATAGAAACATTGTATATACCTGACAATAATAGAACTTATGGGTAATATGTTCATATAATAATAAAATTAAAAAGTATTGAACCAATATATACAGAATGAATGAAACTCAAATACATTATTTTGAAAAAAAAAAAGGTACCTTTTTATATTTCATACTCCTTTCAGGTTTCTAAAGTTTTTCCAAAAAAAAAAACTATGATGTTTCTATAATAATTTTGTTTCAAGAATTTAGACGTCTAATCAGCCCTCTGATGAACTGCTTCCTTGTGTGATTTGTAATTGTTATGGTTTGGATACGAAGTGTCCTCAAACTCATGTATTGAAGGCTTGGGTCCCCAATGCAGGTATGTTTAGAGGTAGGGCTTTTGAGAACTGATTGAAATGTGAGGGCTGACTTCATCAGTAGATTAATCCACTGATGATCTATGACCACTGGGTGGTGATAAAAACTGTAGGCAGTTGAAAGATATTGGTTCCTGGGGGTATTTCCTTAGGGGGACTGTACCTTGTCCTGGCCTTCTCTCTCTCTCTCTCTCTCCTTCCTCACCTCAGGTCTAAAATGTTGTAGGCAACCTACAATTGACCAAAACGTCAAAAAATTTTTTTAAATTCTTTCCTCTTCTAAGTTTCTCTTGTCAGCTATTTTGGTCACAGATAAGAAAAGCTAATACAGTAATTTTGGATTGCGAATTCATCTTAAATGGGGTTTTACTTATGCGAATCTTTAAGCCAGGATGGGGATGTTTCAAAGAGTAGTTTTGTTGCTTTCACCTATATGACCTCACCTGCTGCTCCATTAGCCTTATAATTTCTGTTTTGAGACTATGGAACTATTCTCAAACTGCAAGTTTTATAAGGTCACACCCATGATTATAATTTCTTAGAGAGGCCTATTGTGTATCAACACATACACCAGGCTAAGAAAGGTTTTCTTGTGCTAGTGAACAGACTTGTTTTGCCAAGTATGTAAATGGGATATTATTTAAATTCCAATATCCCATCTTGAGGCAGCCAACACCTTTTATCCTCTAACCACGTGGCCAATAAAACGTATATTCTGCTATTTCCTAGGGCAACAGCTTTCCACCACCACCATTACCATTATCACCAGCACTGGGAGAGTCCTAGTACTAACTCAGTTTATTTGTTTCATGGTAAATTTTCAGCCTCATGTTCTTTTTGAGATCAACTTTGCCTTTAAAAAGATACCAGTTATAGTTTAGCCAAGATCTCTAGCTTTTGTAGTGAGCTTTCAAATGTTTTCTACCATATTTCTTGAAAAGTGTGTTTTGGAAATGCTAGAGATTAAACTCCTCCTTGAAGATTCACATTATTAGCTCCTTAGAGGACACCAATTTAAAAATTCCTTTGATCAAAAACTCTTTTTGACATACAATGCACAAAAATCTCTTCTTGGGTTGGGCCATAAATCATCACTTTATGCATTTTATAAATGAGACCATTCTGCTAGCCCAAGAAGAGCCATGAACTAGTTTCTTGAAGTCATTTACTTGGACCTACTAATAAGACCATGTTTGAATCACAAGACAAGGGCTTATCTTCCTCTTATAGTATAAGAGCAGAACTACAGTTTTAAAACATGTCAATATCTATGTTAAAAAAAATTACCTTCCTTTATGCCATTTAAAAAGATAATTGCCTCTGTTAGAAGGTAATTCCTACTTTTCCAGGGTCTACAGAACAAATGCTTTGAAAAGAGGGTCAAATGTCTTGATGCCAAAATTATAATCCAATGGCTTGGCCCATGGTGTTATATATGGACTGACCTAAATAAACAAGACATTTGGAAAACTCCATTCTATACCTGGCTCTCTCACCACTATTGCAGTAGTATGCTATTTTCCACCAGTGGAGAGAGCCTTCCCTCTATTGGCAGTCAAGGATATCAAAAGTATTAAAGAATGCATTGTACAATAATGTTAGTGGCCAAAGTAATTACGAGTGTGTGGTCAACTTATAAACTACTGGGTTTTAATGCTATTTATTAGACTAAGATTCATGCTTAGAACTTATACACAGAGAGCTTGCTTGAAGAGCAGTTCCATAGAATAACAGCCCAGTAATTAAGATTGTCCTAGAACACATATATTCTCTGGGTCTATCCTATGGTCTCTACCTAAGCAACAACAAAAAATAATTTTAGAAAAGGTCTCCATAAGTGACAGTAGTACACAATGAATTCTGATGGTGAAGACTTTCCAAAGGATAATATTTAAGTTAACATGATTAGTCAAATGTCTACTAAACAGAATATTTGAGAAATCTATAAATTTCTGATAAGAGTATCAGATATTTAAATAGGAGGAAAAGCTCATGCAAAGATTAGAGAGACAGTGAATTCATAATTTTCTCTTCAAAAAGAAAGTAAGGGCCAGAATTTATCTCGCTGGGTAGGCAAAGAATCTCTACCAAGAATAACCAAGTTTATATAGGCTGAGACAAAGCTAACATACATATTTCTCTGTAGGAGGAAATAAGATTCAGAGTTAGTTACTCTGAGGGAGGGATTTAGAGGCATACCAATTTAATAACTTTCTTACTACATATCCCACTATCATCTTCCAAGAGAAAAATCAAATCTCCCATCACATTAAGGCCTGAAAGTGTTTAAAGAATTGCCTCACCTCCTTTGTGCTATTTTACTGCAATAGTGGCAAGAGAGCCAGGTGTAGAATGGAGTTTTCCAAATGTCTTATTTAGGATACCAGGTCGGTCCACAGTGTCTTGGAGGAATCACAGCATCATTTGCCATCGGTTCCAGTCCTGCCACCCCCAGACCTCAGGACAAAGTGAACCTGGGAGGTGAGTGGAATGATTTTGTAAAGGCAATACAATTGGCTATGATGATGGGGAGCTCTTGAATCATAGAACTCGTCCTTGAGCAGCTAAATGGCACATAATTTGGTCTTTACAGAGTTGGGGTGGGAGAGGTGGGGAATGAACAGACAGATAAAGAGCAAACACAGAAGAAAACAATTTTTTTTAACAAAGTAATATTTTTAACTGCCTAGGCAAATGGTTTTGTGAAAATACTTATATGAAAAGCAATACACTATCTTGCATTTACGTAGTCATCACTATTGGGTTTTGACATAAATGAAAATTTACAATAAAGTGAAACCACACAGGATTAAGGATTATGTACAATTCTGTATCAGATGATCTATAATATAGGCAATGTACTGCTTGAAACAATATCTTGATTTCTCATTTCACTTGCTAAAGATGTACAAAGAATACATGGATAAACAGAACACTAAATGAAACGGCAAAATAATCAATACCATTACAGAAAATATACATAACAAATTTATAATGCATGACAATACAAATAAGCAGTGTCTTTAGTATAACAACTGCATTCCACAAAGAAAGTATCTACTAACAAATATGATCTAACTATACCGAAAACATATCACATATATAAAGCATCACAATCTACATAAATTTTACTGAGAATAAGCCATCTGAAGGCCATATCCTGGGCTGAAGTTTTCAAATAAACCTCCACTTTCAGAAAGCTGTTCACAACAGCCCCATCAGGTTTCATCAGACTTGATAACATTTGGCTTTTGCAAGATAAGCTATAATCTTCTCAAGAGAATCAAAATGTAAGACTGAGGTAAAGAGATACTACAAGAGGGAACTTTTTTGTTGGCACAAAAGATTTACATGAATAACCTCCAAAATGCTGATATATTTGACAGGATGGGTTCACCACACATGTATAATACTGACAGAAATAACACTACAACACTGAGATGAAGGACCTACTGACAAACACTAGCAAAAGCACCAATCCCTCTTCTTTCTCTCACTTCATGCTCAAGATTTTACACTGAAATTTACTCTTCTTTTCTACCTTTTTATTTTAATTTGGACCCTTTAATGTTTCCCATCCTGTAAGCAACAGAGCAGCTAAAGTCCCAAAAGCCTTGCTAACAAAGTTGGATGGCAAGTATTCCCTTAAATAGCATTTTTATCATCCAACCCAAAGGAGGTACAGGATGCAGATCTGCAAACTTACATACACTCAAATCATGAAGCAACCTCCAAACTATCAACAGAGTTTGGGATCATAAAAAAATCAAAATACAGCTTTCATAGCTGCAAAAGCCAACCTATTCAAAGCCTGTTTACTTTTTATAGGTAGTTATTTTTAGCTTACAGGGATCATATTCACAAGATGATGTTGCAAGTACGTGCCAAACAGTGCAATGCCCTGTGAATTTAACAGGCACTATCCCTGACCTATTCAATTATACTTCAAAGGGAAAGAAAGTGGAATTGCTTGTGCATTGCTTCAGTGAGATCCCTAACCAAGCAGGCTTCTTTTAGCAGATCTAGCAGAAGATGAATAATAAAAGAAATCAACAATAGGGTAACTAGAAGTTTCACATTCCTTCTAGGAGATGAATAATAAAAGAAATCAACAATAGGGTAACTAGAAGTTTCACATTCCTTCTAATCAGTGACAAGGCACCCTGCTCCCAACTACCTGCACATAAAGTGCTATGTACCCACACTCCACAATCATTACTTTACTTCATTCACCTATTCTGAATTCGCATAAAACACAATTGTATGATTAAACAAACTGATACTGCAATAGAGGGAAGCATGACTTTTTAAAAAAATTTTAAAATCAAAATCACATTTTCCATGCATTTAACCACTGGATTAAATATATTACTATAGAAAAAAACCAATTGAAATGCTGATCTGACTTTAAGTTTAGGTTGATGTTTTTATTTAGTTTTATATTAAGTATTGAAAACAAACCTAGAGGTTCAAGTGGAAAGATAATAAATTAGATGTGTATGAATCAGGCCACCTCCTAGAAAAGCTATCTTTTGTTAGGATGGTAAAAAAAAAAGGAAAAATCAGGAAAAAATGGTTCTTATAGACAGATACTTAAACTTTTACTGGAGTCTCTTCCCAAGATGTTTTTCTTCCCACTCTATATTTTTAAAAAAGAAAATACATTTTTCTTATCATGTAGTTAGGTATTATTTGGGGTCCAACTGTAAATTGGGCTTACACTTAATAAAAAAAATAACAAAAACAACAACAACAACAAAAACAAAAAAACAAAGTAGAACGTGTTTTCTTTCTCATGCCTTTCCTCTAGTTGAAAACTTCACTTTAAAAAATTCTATTTGCAGGAGGGACGTTATATAGAAAAGCCAATCTATGAAACCTTTCTTATTTCATAACTCTAAACTTGAACTCACTATTCTTTGAAATCTTTGTTTACACAGTTGATTGTAAGAGAAAGAAATCCAGTGACAGGAGGACAGGCACAGCTTAGCTTGAGAGTATCCAGAAAAGCGTCCTGGTGTCAGGGAGTAGAACTGCCCCCATCAGAACCATGGCACTTTGGGTGAAGGTGTGTCAGAGGGGCAGGAACTGGAGGGAGGGGAAGAAACAGGCACAGGTCAGGTCAAAATTCTTCCTCCCAGTCCATCAATTCTGTGATGGTCTGAAGAGCACAATTACTAGCAACTTTAACAAACTTCAGCATATTAGGGAAGAGACTATTAGCTGAGTTGGAAAGATAAAAAATAACTATCTCTGAAAATCAATTCTCCTAGTAAAAATCTCCTTTGTGCAAAGTTGAAAGGAGCTTCAATCAACTACAGGAGAGCAGAGAGTTTCAGAGCCTCCCCCACCAGTGAGCCCCATTGTTAACAGTTAATACAAGGAAAGGGTTATATAAATAGTCAGATAGAAATAGACTGCATTTCCTTTTTAAAGATGACAGAAACTTTCTGAATTTCATAAACCTGTACTCATTATTCTGTTTGGACCCAAGGGGTATAAGCTTGACTTTAAGCATCTTTCATATGCTTGGAATCTAATTTTATGAATTTATTCTAAGACATAAATCAGGTAAGAGAAAAGTAGATGGATGGATTTTGAAAAGAAATTGGGTTCCCTGGGTACTTATAGTAGATTGAGGAGTGAGAGATTTACAAAGATACAATTCTCTAGAAGTTAAGGAAGATGGAAACAAAATCAAATCTTTTACATCCTGATACTGACTTTCATTAATTTTTTTCACCAAAAGCACATCAAGTGAAGGAAACTAGAAACAGTTTCCAGTTATTATTAAAGTGTTTCAAGAGCCAGGGAACCCCCTGAGATGGAAACAAAACAACACAGTATTCAAGTTTTCTTCACAAGGCTACCCTGTACTGGGCAAGACTTAGATCACTTCTGGCTTCAAAAAAATATAAAGCATTGCTAAATAAACTTTCTGAAAAAAGAAAACTACTACAGGTTGGCCAAAAACTTGTTTTAAAATCTGTCCTGTAAAATCCCTACTTCCTTTGAAACTCCAAAGGTTACAACATTTCATTTGAGATAGTTGGCAGTCAGGGCTTCATCAGTTGTGTTACTGATTTTCTAAACCTTCAAATGAGAATAAACATGGTGGAAGCAGACCTGGCTGCTGCATCTCCTAAGTGAGAAACAACTGTGAAGAGTGTGGGTAGTCTGCAGGCTCACAGTAGAAAAGTTGGAGAAATAAAAAATAGGAAATAAAACATAACAAAGGAGATTTAGAGCTGGCATATTTCCAAGTTCTTTTCTAAAACTGTATCCAGGGCCCTCTCGATTTCTATCTCTAAACAAATATTTGTGCACTGTGGTGCATGATTTTTCTTACAGTTTCACAAAATAAACAGTTAACACATGAAAAGGAAGCAAGACTTCTGCTATTCTTTGAGGATGCTCAGAAGTAAAGGCTGTTTTGCCTTCATTTTATGGATCTGTAGCTTTTTCTCCAGAGGGTGCTAATGACTGGGGGTTGCCTCCTCTGGTTAAGACTCTCAAGCCCCAATTAAATGAACTTGTTCCCATCCAGATCCCCCAAACAGATCATAACAGCATGTTGTTTTTATCTCTCGATTGTCATGACTGAAAGATTGTCCTTAGGGTACATGAGGCCTGTGCCTATGATACAATGCCACTAGAGATCATCTTTTAAGGGAGAAGCTTTCTCAGTCAGGAAAAATTAAGGATTTGGTTTAAATTGCAGACCAGAGGAAAGCTGACATATTCTTTTGGGCTGCACTGTTGGAAACTGCATCACCGAACCTATCTATGGTCCCTTACTGGCATTCTGACTCTTGCGCTGCCTCAATGCATCTTCTGCCACTTCTGTATCAGGTGAATGGGGCTGTTCTGTGACGTCTTCTTCAGCCTCATCAGGTTCAACTTCTTCCTGGGTCATACTGCCCTCTCTCAGGGGCCCTTGGTCACTGACTTCACTTTTCTCCTCATCCATACCACCTGGCAGATTGTCCTCTTCCTCTTCCTCCTCTGCTTCATCCTCATCACCAAGGTCTTCTTTCTCTTCTTCATCATCAACAAGGCTGTCCTTGTTTTCTTCTTCATTTGAATCATCTTTTTCCTCCTCTGCATCCTGCAACTGTTCAGCCCTGTGAGCTTCCTCAGACTTCTGATTCTGCTCTGTAGAGAGAAGACAGGAAAAACATCCTCCAAATAAATGATGGTAATTCAGTATTCAATTGAGTGTGTTTATCTATGAAATGAAAAAACAGGTTAATTGACAGTTTTATCCACCTTGAAGCTCTTGGTATTATACAGAACAATTCCTTACTTAGCATCCTAGCCCCCACCTAGGCTTCTCCTTCCCTGAGGGCCTTCAGTTACTATGTTGACTTTGGCAGAACATGTGGGCAGAGAGCAAAGGTTCCTTCATGCACTGTATTTTGTAGCTTTTAAAAGGGTCAGTGGCTGACTGGTCATAGCAATTGGTTTGGAAATGTGACTTGAGCTGAACCAATCAGAATACTCCCTAGGAGAGTCAGGAAGAAAGGCCATCCTGTTTCTTAGTAACTGGTTAAACTGGTAAGATGTGAGTTGGGACTGCTGACAGCCACTAAATGAGCACGATGGAAACAGAAATCCAACATCACTCAGGCTGGGAATGATGCCAGAACACCCTTGGACTTTTCAGACAAGTAAGCTAATAAATTTTCATGTTCCCCCCTGAAGATGCTTTATACTGGGTTTCTGTTACATTTAAGAATTCTAAGGATCACATATATTATTCAATTATCTATGGAAGTCTCAAAGCCCCCAAAATTTCAAGTATGAAAATTCAAATTTATCTAAACTTCAAATAAAATTCAACAATTACAAAGTCTTTATGCAAAGTCTCAAAAAATAGCCATGAAAAAGACATTCAAATCCAGGGCCACTTAATTCCAGAAGCAGTGTGAAACATTGCTAGGATTCAGGAATACTGCCTTAAAGGACAGTAACACACAGTAGAGACTCAATAAATGTGCACTTCTCTCCCTCCTATTGTTCAATTCAAATGAGGAAAAGCTGTCCACTGATTAATAAAGGGCATAAAACTAAAGAGCAATTACCAATATAAAATATACTCCAACTTAACAGAGGAGAAAAAGGATTTTTTATTTTCAAATATACTCAGAGAACATATTTTAAGAAAATTGTCAAGGTGATATTTTGTTCATTTAAAAAATCAGGGGAAACCCCCTATGTATAAGAAGCACAAAAAGAATTCCAAACCATAGAACACCATAAAATTCTAAACATACTCTCACATATGAGCTTTTCAGACTTACCAGAATGTTCAGATAAATTCCTTGGAAGTGGCACATAGAAACATTCTGATATTATCACCAAGATCTGGAGGAAGAAAAGTGATTTTATAGTAAGTTCACATAACAGTTATTACCAAAGGGTATCAAAATTAGGCCTTGCTTCTATATAAACACACATTCTTAGACTAATAATTAATAGCTGATCAAAAGTCTTCAAAAAGATAAAGATATAATTAAGAATTTCCTCCTTTCAAATGTGACGTAACACAGGAAAATACCAATAATTTAGAACAAGGGCCACAAAGTCAAAAGCCTACAGAGAGTCTACTATAAATAGATGAGTGAAACAGGTATAAGAAAACAGGCTCTACAAGCCAAGTCTAAAATGGTCTCCTTAAAAACACTATTTTGAACAAAAAAAACTACTACGTATTTATTTGAGCTGCCCCACACTAATGGGTAACCCTCAATTGAGTGGAAGAACACTTCAGGGTCTGGAATTCTTAAGAATACCATTGAAATTTCTACAGACAAACTGTGAGAAAACTACTCAAAAATGTGAACTAAATCCTATTTGAGGCAGTGATGGATTAGTTTCATCTCTGACCTTGACTGAAGCATAAGTCATTTTCTATTGTAATAACCATGTCTTTTTCCTTGATGAACTCTAAGCTCCTTAAGGATAGGATCCATCTGCCATGGCCAGGGACCAGTAATGAGCCATACTGATGATACTAATGGCTACATCCAATAAGGCACCTGGTGCCAGAACAAAATTAGGATCCACTCTCTTCGTGTACAATTTTCCCTGCCCTTAAAGCACAACACGAACAGATCCAAGAATAAAGAAAGCTGCCCATATAGAAGGCTATACATTTCTTCTTGTATTTAATGCTTAGATTACAACTTCTTTTTGAATAATTGTACAGTCTTTAAAAACAGGAATAGTGCTACATATACTAGTGTTTTACATGTGCTCTAAAATTTTAAATAAGTCAATTCATAGTCCTTGATTCAATATTATAAGTATCAAATGAGTACTCTACTTTGTGTTCAGGATTACTACTAGGCATATATTCATTTATTACTGTACTTGATATTTGGTTCATTAGGTTCAAGGTACCATGCATGTTAATATCTGGGGCGTGTGTTGCAAAGAGAAAAAAACTAAGTTTATGGAAAATAAGTCTCATACAAAGCACTCTGATACTTAAGAGATAAAGAGCTTACATCCAGGTATGGAGTGGAGAAGGATCAAGGATGGAGAAAGCATTGAGCCAGAGCATAGAGTGGACAGCATAGGCAACATTCACTGCGTGGCTGCTCTAAGCTGCAGCCAGTGAGATTCCTGAGGCTCCTGGATCTCGATAAAGTCACAAGTGCCAGGTTCAGGAGACCCATGAAGTAAGGCAGTGCATTTCAGGAAGGCTTTGTGGGTTGGGGAACAACAAGCTCCAAGCCATTAAATCACCCTTACCAGCAAAGAGGAAGCATTTCCATGTGTTAGGACTGAGGTTAAGGATCTTACATTTTTAATGTGATATTCATATGTTTACTAGCTATTTTCAGGACATAATATCTCTTGTGACTTTTTTTCTTTCTTAATTTCACCAGGAAGGACAAAGTCCTAATATATTGCAAGTGAAGAAGAAATATCTTTCAGTGACAATACAAGCATTTCCAACAATGCCCACAAGGGAGAAACTTGCATTTATGATACTAGAGGGCAGGCTGGTACTGGAGAAAAGACTCACAGGGGACCAGTCCCACCTTTGTCTTTCTTGCATTAGCTGAATAACCTGAAGTTCCCTTAACTGCTTTCGCTTATGCTCAAAAGGACAGGTTTGAGCTAGCCTACCACCAAGGCCTGTTGTCTTCCTTCTCAGAAACTGGGAGGAAATCCTCTCATCTTTTCATTAGATTCTTTCACTTCAAGGTCTAATTCTGGTCTAGAAAACCTTTCAGAAACAGTCTATAGGAGAATGGTACCTTTCTCTTCATCTTCTACAATGACCATAATAGGTTTTGGCTTCTACCTAGATGCAGATAACCATGCTACAAAATGAAGACGTGCACTGAAAGATGGAGTTTTTTCACAGAGTTATGACATTCATGATTCTAACACTGGGGACCTTCCTCTGTGGAAGGCCCCAGGCTAGACATTGGTTATCAGCATCTAGAAAAATAATCTACTTAAGCACCAGAATTTGAATAGTGCCTATATATGGCAACAGAAATAGATATGGCAGAGGAGAAAGCAAGTCAGCCTCTTCTTTTTCCATGAATGAACTATCTGAACTGAAAAGCTTGTAGACCTAAGCTACTTGGATCATAGCCTGTGTTCTGCGGGGCTTTTCTGCTTCTCTAAAACTTTGCTGCCTTTCACCCTTCAGAGTCCAGTTACTGACAGCAGAATGTGATCCTGTCACAGTCATTTGATCTATAGACTATGAACTAAAGATCACTCCAATGTTAGTTAAAAATACAGAATATATACTTGATTCTAAAACTGAGCTCTTTATTTAATGTGAAAAATAACATTTTATAAAATACTTCTACCATTACCAGGCTCAATCAAGAAAATCAGCAGACTTGTTTTCATTTCCCATATTTTAAAACTGGGGTGGGGGGGGGAATAGTAAATACAATAGTCAAGCTAAGTGAAGAAATAATAGAGAACATTTCTTATGGAAAACATCTTGCCCTCCTAGCACTATGAAGACACACATAAAAGGAAGGAATGTCTCAAAAGTCATCAGAACCAAGTTCACATGTCTGCAAGCCTGGCCTTGACTTTTAGCCCCAGGTAATGGCAGAGGTGTCACAGAGTGCTGAAACTCACATCTGAAGCTCTGGCCTCTAATCCTGACTGTAAAAAGCAAGTGAGTCACAAAGCCTATGCTGGCTGCAGCTTCTCTGGGAAGGGGGTGGTGAAATAGAGTATTTTAAAGGCTGTTTCCTTTGAGTACTCAGGCAATTCCTACTCTTCTATTTTGAGAAGTCCTATACTCAGCAGTTTTATCTCAGATTTATTCTATCTGAACTACTCATCTTTACATCCTGGCTTCACAACAGATGTGTCATTCCCCAGGGAATGTGGGCAAGATGTGGGGCAGCTGCTTCTCTGGGCCATTCAGAGCCAGTCTCAGTGATTCTGTTGAGCAGCAGCATCCTTTTCCCTAGTGTGCTACATTCTCTCTGTGGCTAAGAGGTGAAAACAATTGAGAAATGCTTCTTCTATAATCCTAGAAGCTAGTGAAAAGGCCACTCTGGAATAGATGATTTCAAAAGAGATAAAAGAATTCAGCTCTTTCAAATTGTACAACTAATTCCTAAAGATAAGATTTAAAACTACAAAAAAATAAAGATTTCTGAAGGCAAAAATTCTACATACTTTACAATTTTACAAAAACGTGATCTTAAAGATGTATTTACTATTTCTGATTAACAGATTATTTTGCTAAATAACATTATCTTCCCATGTTTTTATAAAGGCACAATAGAGTGTTTTCTTTATCACTTGAATCTTCTTTCTTCAAGTCAAGCCTCCAATAACCTTCCTATAATGTTATTTCCATCTAAGTTTCAAAATGAACCTCATGCATAAGCAGGCCTGACTCAATTTCTTAGACTTAAAAGTAACCTCAAAGTCTAAAACTCTTTATGCTGAGAATTTTCACTGGTTTTCCAACAGGTTCATACTCAACCTACATTCCCTTTGTCTCCATCTCTGAATTACCCAGGACCTCATCCTGTTCCCCTACAAAAGCCTCACACTGCTAGAAAAATCTGACATTAAAAATACATGGGAGAAGCACAAACAGTTAATTCTACTTAAATCCAAAGTCAAATCCCTTTAAAACAGGGCAGTGGAGACATGTAAACTAGCAATACAATTAATATAACAGAATATAACACACCAGGGACCTGATTATTAATTTATTCAGGTTGCTAAATTTCATCCCTACCTCTAAAGTTAACACCAGTAGTAAATCTCAAAGATAAGCCATAATGTGAATACAGCATGCTCTTGGAAAAATAAGAACTAAGTGTCCTCCACTCCTTAGAGTTATTACTTTGTCAGACCAAGTTGTGACTTAGTATCAAGTCAATTGCTAAGCATTTAAACTTATTAAAAAGAAATGTACACAATCTTACCTAAAAGTTTGTTCTTTAATATAAAACTTTTATAATCATTAATTATTCTCACCATGGAGTAGTTAACAGCTATGTCATTACCATACAGTAAAAAGGCTTTTCAGAACTTCTAAGAATTCAACAGGAAATCAAGTTGATCAAGGGCAGGTTAAGAGAAAGACAAAAATAATTTGTATCAAAGAGTAAAATATGCCAGGTGTGGTGGTAAACATTTGTAATCCCAGCAGCTCAGGAGGTTGAGGAGGAAGGGTTGGGAGTTCAAAGCCAGCCTCAGCAAAAGCGAGGCAGTAAACAATTCAGTGAGACCCTGACTCTAAATAAAGTACAAAACAGGGCTGGGGATGTGGCTCAGTGGTCGAGTACCCCTGAGTTCAATCCCCAGTCCCCCCTTCAAAAAAAAAGTAAAATATGCCACACATTTATAGTTGCCTATATAATTAAATAAATAAATTTATTATTTCAACTTTCACCTAAAACACCTAGGGAGAAAATACTGAGATACCTACTGGATACTGATTTTCATGTCCAAGGAGAACATGGTGATTTACGCTGAATCTTTTTTTTTCCCCCCACATTAATGACAGTGTTCTTTCATCCACATTATTTTACAAAATTCACCTCAGGAAAACCAAATATGTATAAGCAACTGTATGTATAAGCAGCTGGTCAGGAGCAGAGGTTCAATTGGAGGATATGAACAGAAAAAAAAAAAAAAAAAAAAAACTTTGATCTAAGTAAGAAACAAATTCACAACTTTGGCCTTATCACCACCATAGTCTAATCAAGTAGGCAATGTGTAAAAACCATAGTCAACTCAGTTGTCTTGGAAACTATCAAGTCTGGGTCTCTGTTTCTTCGTTCACCAGTGTTTATGTTCTGGGCAATACACATCTTCAGAATAGTTAAGGGATAGGACTAGGGAGCGATAATTTAATGAACTTTCCATTATATCTCATATTACCCTTAAAAGTAACATTAAATAATCAAATGCTATTTAATTACTTGATTATACACAAAAGAATGTTTTGTGTTTTTTTCTTTCTTAGTCCCCTTTGAGTTTTACAGGAAATCCACATTTCTTTAAAGAAGAAAAAAATTGGTTTTCTCTCTTACCAGACCCATAAGGAGGCCAAAAAGCAAAGTGGCAATGACAAAAAAGACATAAGAACACCAGGCAGGAATTCCAAGGGTCACTGTGAAATAGTTGTGAAGATGCTGAAAACAAAAGAAAAAAAATTACTTGTAATGAGGACCAAAAATATTTTAATCATCTTCTCTAACACCAACCTGCAAATTGTCTATCCGTACATTTTTCCACAAAATGACCCCAAATATGTACCCAAATGACTCTTAATGAGCAAGTCAAGTTTTTCAACATTGAAATACTCAGAGTAATTATAAAGGTTGTATCTAAAAAGAGTTATCTTTCCCTAGAGCTCTGGACCTGAACCGAACTCTAGTAAACTGTTTTGCTAGTCCTTTCTTCGATCATGATTTGTTTTGTTTTGGTCCCTCATATAAATAATTATATATATTCAGTATTTATTCATAACATGGCATCTTTTAAAAAAATGAAATTCTTGGCCCTTTAGAAATTTTTATGTAAAGCAAAATGACTACAGAACCAACTATTTAAAATTGTCTCCATATTTACTTTTTCAAATCAGACTTATTATTCTACCCCTTAACAACTTTATTAACTACTACAAGTAATAAAATGCAATACTGAACAGAAGAAATTTTTTTGATTAATTTATTTTAAGCAAATGAGATTTTATTAGTCTTTCAGTAGAACATACATTATCTTATGCTTACTATTCTCTGGGACTCTAATGACAAATACTTGAAGAGACACAATCTTAGCTAGGAACTAGTTACCTGCTAACTCACACAGGGTATAGACATGAACCTGCTCATTTAATGTCAAGGTCCACTTAGATGCGAAGTTGCAGAGCTAATGCTTCCCCATGGTAATTTAGTCATCTGTTTTGATCCTTACATTGCCATCAACTATAATCCAAGCAATTTCTAGACACGGGGTAAAATGGTTCCAAGTTATATAGATATAATCAACAAGCAGAGATAATGATTAAATGATCTGCCTAGAACTGATAAAATAGATGAAAATGAATTCAAGTTTCTGTTTAATTTCATATTTCTCAAAATTTAAATCATTCCCATTGGTTTCCTAGTTTTATTTTGGGCAATTTAATAATACATTTTACTCTGGCTTAATTCTGAATGAAAGACAAGCAAACAAAAAAGTTGGTTAAATGATCTCATATAATCTGAGAGATCTAAATGAAGACTCAGCAAACATTTTAAGCACTAACACATGTAATCAATATATTCAATCAACACTTGTTGAATAAGGAAAAGATACCAAATGCTTGAACTATTCACATGAAATATAAACAAACAATTTGTAAAGCTGCTGTCTTTCTTCTGTTGATGGCACTTGTCATCAGTCTGTGCTTAGTCAGGACGATTGCTTATGAAGGGTAGTTTAAAACTCTTTCAATGTAAGTTCAAAAGGTATTATACATTTCCTACTTTAGAACATAATGTTTATTGAACAATTTATGCTTTTCTTGATGACTCAGTGCAATCAACACGATTAAACTCTGAAATGTGCCAAAGAATTAAGATACTAATTAAGATACTAAAAGTCAATCTGCCTCCGTGCTGACTCAGGGATGCATTCTGGAACTTGTTTTGTGTCTTCTGATTTACCTCATTTATGTGATTGGAATAAAAAAACTGAAATTTTTAGATGATTGTGTCTTATGCCCTTTCTGCAAAATAAATGATTGCAACTTTCAAGAAAATATTCTAACTTTTAGATTTTAGTAAGTTATTTGCTTTTGAATCATTGCATTCTGAGTCCAACATTTTTTAGCATTCTCAAAACATTATCTTATTGTAATGAGCTTCACTTCAATTTTTATACCAACCCACTCTTGAAGCAATTTGAGCTTCTTAAAGAAACTCTGCCATCTTGTGGTTTTTTTCAGGTAATTATTACTAAAGACATTAATCAAGTTATGTTTTCACAATCTGTAGATATGAATCTTTATCTGTTTACTTTGAGTTCATAATGGCTTTAGGGACCCTCTGTGAATGTTATAAGTCACAATATTAAGTATCTGGAGTTTTGCTTCAAGATCTGGATAGAACTATGATAAAATTGTTTTGCTCATTTTTTCTTCCATCATCGAAGATTTTTTTGGTCCCCCTTGCCTATGTGTACATGTGTGCATGTGTGTATGTATGTGTGTCCAAAATAATAACTGACTAACACTTATTTGATTTAATTTTAGATTTTCATGTTTGTTTCTTTAGCCATGTTTCTTTAAATACCAGTTTTCACTTGTGTAAAATCCTGGTCCTTGTTCAATATTACATGTTCTCATTACAAGGAAGTACCCGGATATTTACTGAAAATGCACTCAAATGTCACCTGATGGGTATGATAACCTATACCATTATATATTATATTATCTGACTTAGGGCTAATTTCTGGCTAAATATATAACTGAGTTGAAAGACCAAATGAAAAACATCACTACAAGAGAGTAAATGAGAACAGACCAATCAGTGGTCAGACTGGATTTAAGGAACCAGGCCAAGGTCCCCATGGTCAGAGGCAGAACCTTCCTTCCCCATGAAGGCCAGGACTCCCTCCAGAAGTCTAAACCATTACAGGCTGAATAAAATGCCACCCAGAGCATCCACCCATCCAAACCAATGTTTCACAGTCTCACTCAAAACTGAATTGGCCCTGAAAAACAGAGAGTCTTTGGATTTAGAACTTGCCTGCATCACAGGATATATACTCTGAGGTCAAGGACAGGCTTGATCCCTCACACACACAGATCAGAATTGCCAAAATATTTTCCCTATGTGTGAGCAGGCAGGAAGGACTCCTCGGTGGTAGTGGAGTACTCAATCCTCCTCCATGTTCTACCCCCAATATTTGCAATGAGACACAGACTTGCAATCTCTTGTAGAGTCCATGAAAGGAACCTCGTGAATGGCACAGTCTCACTGTAACATTCTACAAAACATTCTAGACATTTTTATGAGAGAGGAAAAAACACAGTAAGACAAGAGACACTGCTATGTAAATCACAAGGGAATGTTTTCAAGTTCTTTTTAATTTTTTTTAGATGTTGATGGACCTTTATTTTATTCATTTATTTATATGTGGTGCTAAGAATCAAAACCAGTGCCTCCCACATGCTAGTCAAGCAGCACTACCACTGAGCCACAACCCCAGCCCTCAAGTTTTAAAATAGTATTATTCTCCAATATAAACATGCAAGACCTTTAATTCTCATCCTTGGATATTTATGAAACACTAAATTTTCTGTTATGATAATCTAATCAAAAGAGAAGGTGATATTCATCAAACAGATTGTCCTCTCCAGGATGTAGCATGCCTTAGTTTAGCTAAAATTTGCCATGTCTATGCCCTTTCATAACAACAGTGACCTTTAGGAGATATAAGTTATATCCTATATTAGTTTTAGTAATTCACCAAATTTGATCAAACAATATTTTAAATACATTTAAACACTAAACCTAGTTATCAAAAGTATGTATGTTGTACAAGTGCCACAGAATTGTGTTTTAAGTTTATAATTAGTCTTGTTTAAAATAAACAAATAAAAACAACAACAAAAAAGTATTCTTGTTGTCTATCACCAGAAGGGGAAAATAAAATAATAAAGATGGCAATGATTAATGATTATAACTACAAAAAGTAGTTATCAAATATAACATAAGTGCCAGATTCTATGCTAAACATTCAAAGAGTTCTGGTAAGAACAGTCTATGTCAGAGAAAGCAAACAGCTTCAGAAACATGAACACAAGGAGGAAAAAGATGGCTTGTGTTTTGAAAGGGAGAAGGATAGTGCCTCTGAAGCATGGTAGCCAATCATAAAGAGAGATAAGAAAACAAAGACTAGAACATCTCTGTCCACACATGTGCCATCAGACAAAAAAAAAAAATCTCAGCCTGGAGAACCCTAGTCCTGACTATGAAACCAGAGCCAACGGCAGTGCTTCCTAAAATGCAGTCTTCTTCACATCACCTTCATGACATTCACCTCACCCTATACTGCTTTGAGAGTATTAACATTGCATTAAGTTGAATCATTTTAAGTTTTAATAAAAGTTTAAAAAGTTTTTTATATTGCTACTGCCTTAGAAAATCAGAGTCAATTCTGGACTTTGAAGATGTCTCCTCTCTGAGAAACTTTTCAAGTTGTTCACCTTCTAGACTTCATTGACTCCTTTTATGAGTGAAGCATATGGAATGTCAAGACAATCCATGAGGACAGGATTACTTCTATGAGTTTATAGATATCTAGTATACAGGTGAATGCCCTCATGATTGGATTAGAAAAACAATTTGAATTTGGTGATGGAGAGAACACTGATGATCATTTACTCTTAGCCACATTGTGGTACAAATTACCAATCAAAAATTCCTAGGGTTCCACTGGCCATGGTGGAGTATGCCTATAGTCCTAGCAGCTCAGCAGGCTAAGGCAGGAAGATTGCAGGTTCAAAGCTAGCAACTTAATGAGCTATAAGCAAACTAGTGAATCCCTGTCTCAAAATAAAAAAAATGTAAAAAGTTGGGGATGTGACTCAGTGGTTAATTGCTCTGGGATTCAATCCTTGTTACAAAAAAATGAAAAAAAAAAAAAAAAATCCTAGGGTTCAAGGTAACTGCAAAAAGGCCATTCAAGCGACTGCCCTACTTAAGGGTTCACTTCAAATAAGAACATAGGGGAGGCTGATGCAAAATGAAGAAGTACAAATGCAAACCAAATAAAATCTCTTGAGTTCATAGGAATTCAGCTAAGTGGGTATCACAATACCAGGCAACCCTAGAATCCTAAGGTCCAGTTTTTAACTCCAAAATGTCAGACAAGCAAGTTGACTTCACTCCTAAAACAGAAATTCAAGGACTTTAAGGAATCACTAGTTTAGTAGGATCTGATGTTCTAGATATTGACATTTTTTTCCATTTTTTTTTTTTTTTTCATTACAGAAAAATTAGAGAGTGCCGCAGTCTGGCTGGGCATAATTCAGGAGCCACTTGTTAAAAGAAACGAACTTTATTTTTAGAACCACACACCGCACCACACAGCTCCTCAGGAAAAACCCTCAGAGCCCAACTGCCACCACCGGCTTCTCACAAGCCTCTCAACCTCCCCCAGTCCTCCTGCTCTTGAGGCCCATGGGCAATTGGCTGGGTCGCATGGGCGGAGCCAAAAAAAGTCCCCCAATGAGAAGCTCCATGGTCTGAAAGGGCGGGGAAACAGCCCAATGAGTATCACCGCAAAGGAGCCAATCAGCTAGAAGTTGCTGGGGCCGCTATGAGCCAATCATCAGCTGGCAGCTGGAAGTTTGCTGGGGCCTCTTCAGCTGTGGCTCTCAACAAGAGAGTACAGAAAAAACAGGTCTTTAAAATCAGCCAGAATTCCAGTATTAGAGAATATCATTGTCAAGAATCTATTTGATCTGTCTAGGCATTTTTCTATATAAGTGATACATAATGTTTTGCTATCTTTCCCCCCAATTAATAAGTTGCATCTTTCTTTTCAGAAAAATTTACTTCTAATAGCTAGCCAAGCAGGAAAGTTGACTGCTAAGGAAAAATTGACTTCTATTTGTATACATATCCACAAAATCTCAGTAGGATAAAAGACTATAGACAGACATCACCAATTTTGCTTCTCTAGCTTTAGCTACATTACTTCTTTCTTGCTTACATGTTTTTATCTTCTTTCTCTGAGACTTTCCACACTTTATGTTTTAGCCTCATCCATGATCTCTCTGTCTCTCCCTCCCACACCACGTGCTGTGCTTCTTCTGTTCATTGTTAATACTACAGTTTTACTTCTGTTCACTGTTAATACTACAGTTTTATTTTATCTAGACATAAGTTAAAAACAGATGACATTCCAGACAATTATATATTTGACCCTGACAAGAGACTCCTGGGCAAAAGAAAAAGTCAGATAACTAAGTAGGCAGGACAGTCAGCTAAGACTGCTAAGTAAGGCCGACAAAGCCAGACTATGCCAAGATTTGGAAATGGGGACCAGAAAGACCTGATGGGACATCAAGGACTAGGCCCCATCAGGCCAAATATCATACATCTTGTAAATAAGAAGTCAAGAGCTAGTAGAATGTACTAACTATATATCTTCCCTAATATAGTCTTTGAAAGTAAAACTCTTCTCTAGCATCAATGAAAGTCATGATTTTTTCTCAACCTGGAGGATAAATTCACCTATTAATTTTTACATCATAGGTTCTGTGCTAAGATCTTGCTCTCAGTGCTGTCTGATAACCAACAAATCTACAAGGCTCAGATATCTATTAGACTATATGATAATCAACCTTTAATGTCAACATACTGCAAAAGGCAAAATCCCTTATTCTCAATTTTCGGATTGCAATTCACAGTTCTCAGCTCTTGACTAAACTTCGCACCAATGTTAATAAATCAACAGAAGGAAAACTTATGAAACTTAAAACTATTTAGAAAAAGGAAAAATACTAATTATTGTTGAATGTGATTTTAAAAATGTCCAAAAAAAAAAAGTTAAAGTTTAACCAAAAAGACTGAATCCAAGTCTCTGATTAGCTTCTTGTAAAAACACAAAACAAAACAAAAACCCCATGAAATAGATATCTAACAAGGCAGAATATATAACTAAGAAACTGGTATATGAAAGGTTGTTTTTAAATTTCCCTCACTATATATCAATGTGTATAAGAAACAGAGTCTTCTTGAGTTCTTTAAATGTTAGGTTTCAAATATGATACCATGACCTATGATCATTGTTTAGAAAAAAACATAAACAAGAATTCATGTCTGAAGAATTTTTTTAAGTATTTTGAGCTATAATTAATTCCAGAGCACTCTCATTCAATCTTTGAATTTAGCCTCCTCTACAGAAAAGGGAAACAAAAGGTCATAGACATAGCCAAGGTTATATAATGGTTCAACATTTTAACCTGAACAACAGTACACTGAAATGACTAAGTGAAATTTTATAATTACATACAGCAAAGGTTCACAAACAATAAAAGGGTCAGATAAGACATATTTTAGGCTCATGAACCACAACTCCTTGTCAGTAACATCTACTCAACTCTACCACTATCATATATAAGCAGTCATAGATAATGAATACTGAATGAAAATGGCTGTGTTCAAATAATGTTTTATTTACAAAAATAGTGGCCTACCCATAGGCTATCGTTTGGTGACCTTTGAAATATACTAATACCTTCATACTTAGATAATCTGATCTGTAGGGAGATTTGTCAATGAGAAAATTAAAATACTATATATGAAATAAAATGATATAAGCCCTTTGGCCTTGATAAGAATTTTAATTTCCAATCAAAAAAAAAAAAAAGATATGACTTAGACAAAGTATCGACTAATCCCTGATCAAATTATGCCCTTGTAAACACAATTTGTATAACTTAAGGAGAAAAGCAGAATTTTCCTTTTGCATAAAAGCTACACATTTATTCTTAAGAACCTCTCTGCAAATATAATTGTGATGGTTTTACTTAAGATTACTCACCCAAATCTTGCCAGAGATGCTAAAAAGACCAGCCATTCCAGACATCCTTAAAAAATAAAGAGAGAAGAGGACAACTGATCATGTATACTAAGAAGAAAAAGAAAAAAAAAAAAATGCTCAGATCAGAGGGACTACCCTTCACTGATCTCACTACACATTGTTCTCTTTCTTGGATTGACTTCTGTTCTTACACAGTTTACCATCTGTGGTTGTCATTTGAATCTGCCTGAGGTAAATACATTCCAATTTCTTGGCTTTTTCTCCCTTCATTGTATATGTCTGGCAAAAATCCCAAACGTAAACATCTGAATGTCTCTGGGGAAAGATTACATGTAGAGATGAACCCCAGCCTAAGTGAATACTCAGTTCCACCTAGTCTTAGGGCATTTTTTAAAGACTCTGGGATAATAGCTCATTTCCTCTTCCCCCTCTTTAAACCTTACATGTATCCCCACTCCTAAAATACTCATTGCTAACAAACACCTTGAAATCAGAAGCCATTATGTGATCTATCTTATCTTTCTACCACCAAATCTAAGTCTGGTGTATACCTGCATCTACCTTCTCATTTCAACAAGAAATTCTATCTTTCCTACTACGGTCCAATTACTCTTGAGCCTTAGTTCTTTTCACTTTATCCTATTAATGACTTGGTTCTTTCCGTAATCCCTTCTTCCTGTGTTACTCCATCTCTGCAGGACATCTCTCCTCAGCATGCATATATATTTCCTCCCATCTTTTAAAAAGAGCAACCCTGGACCTCAAGTGTTCCTTCAGTTTCACAGATGAATTTTTCCAAAGAATAGTGCTCACTATTTCTTCTGCATCATATCTTAACATTCAAACCTGCCTCTTACTTGTAAAGCTAATATTACATGATCTTACACTGCTTCATTCTATGCCCATGTCACCATTTGATTTTCCTTAATCTCTTGGTAACAGGGACACAAGTAACTACTCCTTCCTTCTTGAGTACCTGTTGTCTGGAAAATGGTACACTCCATTTTTCTTCCTGCCTCTCTGTATTCATTTTCAGTTTTCTCTTGCTGACTTATTCTCTATGCAAATTCTTAATTTGGAAATAGTTCAGGGATCAATACTAAGCAATCCTATTTCTTTCTAGGTGTTTTTTTCCCTTCTGAGACTTTAAACACCATGTAGGCGTGTCCTAGATGGACACCTCTATTTGTGTTCCTGAAATCATGGAGACCCATTCCCATGTAACCAATTTAACAGCTCTACAAAGTCTACATCTCAAATTCAATAAGTCCAACACAGAGTCATTGATCTTCTCTTGCCTGAATAAGTAAGTAATACCAAGATTCATCTGCTATTCAAACGTGAAACCCAGTTTTCACTTGTGAATTCTCCCTCTTTTCACCTTGGCCAAGTCTACCTTCAAAACATACTTTAAATCCATTCATTTCTCCTTCTCCACCACTGTCACTCTCCTACAAGCTATCATCTCAAAGATGGACACTATGAAATACTTCTAACTAGACTCTGATCATTCATTCATTTCTCATTGCATGGACTGATAACTTCCAAGTTTGACTTTAGGGTCACAGGCTCTACAGGATCTAGCTTCAGCCTGCCTCTTACTTGTAAAGTTAATGTTACTCTTCTCCCTTGCACCATGATCCAATCTGGCCACCACTTTGCTCCACATGTACATCAAGGTGTTTCCCAAACTGGGGCTTATGTTCATGCCATACTTGTTGCTGGGAATAGTCTTCCCCTGCTCTTTACCTGGGCTAGTCCTTCTCCCTCAGATCTTACACTTCAAGTTCTTCCCTCCAAGCAATTCCTCCTAAACCCTCCCTTCTAAATTAATAGGCCCAGAACCCCACAGTTTTTACCTATCTTAGTAAAGTACAGTTTTGTTTGTTTGGTAGGTTGGTTTTTGTTTTGCAGTGCTGGGGACTGAACCAACTATGCTATTTTTGTTTATCCAGATTATGACTCTTGATATCCCCAGTTTTTTCTAATCTTACTCACTTTGAGTTACCTAAAAATAATAGAGGGATCATGTCTGTCTCATTCACTGATAAATACCTAGCACCCTGAAAAAACATCTGGCATAAAATTAAGGCTTAATTATTTGTAGAAGAAAGGCTAGAGGTAAGCTGCTTTTAGGGTAAGTTATATGTTTCCTGAACATTAATATAGAAGCCACTAGATGATTTATTCCTGAAATATTAAACCATTTGTTCCTACATTAGTTAGGGAAATTATGCCTGCATGTTAAAATAAAATTAATTATAAATATGTCTATTCGAAATTAAAACCAACTATGGAAAAAATTTCCATGATCTGGCCTTATCTTTCTTGCCAAGTATTATAAAGTTTATGATCATGGCCAAAAGTTTTTGCCACTAATATTCTGCCAGGCAGTTAAAAACCACATACGCTTTATTTTCACATAAGACACAACAAATAATTTATTCCTTTATAAATTATTTCCTGAATTACTATAATTCAGGAAAGAACTGCTCTCCATCTTACCAATAATATAAAAGAAGGAAAAACAACTGGCATTCAATATGATATTTTACAAAGAGAAAGTGGTCAACAGGCAAAAGCTGGAGGGGAGGCTTTCTGTAACCCACAGAAATCTGGCTACTCAGTTCCCAACAGAATAAAAACTACCTGAAATACAAGTGGATCAGAAAATCAGAAACCCTCCATGAGCCAATTATGGGCATATGTATGTGATATGAGTAACAGAAGTGAATATGAAGAAAAATGTAGGCTTTTAAGCAGGGTAACTTGATACCTAGTATTTTGTTTTTAATACTTTATCATTAAAAAATTTAAAAATTACGTTAGAGAAGCTGGAGATTTCCAGCCAGTCAGAGGTTCAACTGACTGCCATTTCTTCTCTAAGATGTAATTCTGTAGGTCTTCGAAGATTCCTGGACCACGGTAACGGCGGAATATTCCATCCTTTGCACTACAGATTATAAGAACAAGTAGAATAGAAATAAATCAAAATATAACTGGCTATAGATCATAAAAATCAAAATAAATATGGCTATACATGAGAAATTCTAAAACTGAAAGCATTTAACATTTTGCAACTTCAAGCAAAGTTCTTGACAGTGTTTAATTTGTCAAATTATTTTTCATTACTTTTGCTAGAATTATTTTAATTTTTCTGTCCTAAAAGCAAAATATCCATTATTATCAGATTTAAAAAATTGTATCTACATTTCCAAACTTATGGCATTCAGTCCATCCCCTGGGAATCACAAGAACAAAAAAAAAAAAAACTCACAATCGCCTTCAGTCTTCCCTCCCTCTTACCTTCTTACCATGGTCAAGTCTCACCAGGGCAAGTGTCTGCATTTACCATTTTCTTCTCTTCATTACTCATTCACCACTCAGGCAGACTGTTGTGAGGGAGGGTCCTACTCCTACAACTCCATTGAACTTGATTGGGGTTCTCCAGTGACTTGTAAATGCCACGACAAATGGAGTACTTTTCTGACATTTTTCTTTCACATGATATTGGCACTGTTGACTACTGGACACTCCTTCCTTCTTCCTTTAGCTTGACATTTTTTTTTGAGGGGAGGGGAGTGCCGGGGATCCAACCTATGGCCTTGTGCATGCTAGGTAATTGCTCCATTAATGAGCCACACTCCCAGTTCATTTAGCCTGAATTCCTACTACTCTGACCATCCCTTCTCAGTTTCCTCAATCACTGTCTTCCTTGGCAGATGTCCTATTGGTCAACCCCAGGCTCCACCCTTCACCTGCTTCACATCTCATTGTATATGCTCTTCCTACATATATTTCAATTGATATTACCCAAGCCCAAGGAATCCCCAACATGTATTTCCAGTCTAATCTTTCTTCATAGTTCTAGATCCTGACATCAAACTGCCACTGGAACTTCTCCATTTGTAATCAAAATAAGCACTTAACACTATATTCTCCATTCTGGTCTCTACTTTCCAAATCTCATTTTATTTTAAGGGCTTCTGATTTTGTAGGCCAGAAATAGCACATGATAGTTTTAAATGACCTGTTGGTAGTCATCACAGACTGTTCCTTCCTTGGATAATAAGTTACCAAACCCCAATAATCTCATCTATAAGAACCTCTGAAATCCATCCTTTCCTTTCTCTTTCCCCTGCTACTGAGTCTCTCTAGCCTCATCACCCAGCATGATCCAACTGTACCTGTGGGCCAGCCATACAGAAACAGTTAAAATTCTCAGAAGGTGTCTCATTTCTCTGAGCTTATTTATGCTACTTCCTTTATCTGGGAAGATTTTCTTCATCTTGTTGGTTTAATTCATATCTACGTACCCATTAAGAGTTATCACACCTTTATATCATCAGAAAATCTTCTCTGACCCCTACTTATACCTTTTCCCCATCTGATATTAGGTTCTCTTCTCCACAGCACTTCAGGCAACCTGATCTTTTGACATCTATCATTCAGAGCAATGCAGGCTTTCCTCTCCTCAAACACTCTGCTAAACTAGTGGCAGTCATGAAAAACTCCTCAGAATATCTGGTATATACTGACTGATTTATAATCTTTGCAAGACCAGAAAAATTATTTCTACTTACTGAAAAAATGCAGGGAGAGTGGTGACAAAGAAACGGCCACTCAAACCTATAAGAAGCATAAACAGAAAGGGTTATAAGTCAAATTCAGAGTAAACTGAGCAACTTAAGTACTAAGAAAAAGTTTCCTCACACTTACCTTTATAATCAATTATTAAAATAATTAAAATTTTTGAATCACATTTATTATTTCTTTTTTTGACTTAAGGAAACATTATTTTTACATATTTTGATTACATAACACTTTATAGTCACTGACATACAATTTGCTTATCCTCCATGTGTACGCTGGAATTTCCTAGCTGTGTGCCATTTGGGAATATAGAGAGGTTGAAAAGATACCTATAAAGTCATACAATCTTAAACACTAACTTCCCTATTTATTAATTTTATGGCTTTAGATCAATTATTTCACTTTTCTCTTTTTTATTGGTTCTTTTTAGTTTTATATGACAATAGAATATACTTTGTTCTAAGCATGAAATATAATTTGTTCTAATTCAGTCCCCTTCCCCTCCTTTCCTCCTACCCCCAATTCCATTCCCTATACTCAAGTGATCTTTCTGTTCTTTACTTATAGTTTTTTTTTTTTTTTATTAGTGTCTTGTGGATATACTTGATGGTGAGATTTACTGTGGTATATTCATATATGTACCTTTCTAAATCTCAGTCACTTGCTCCATAAAATGGGTATATTAAAACCTAATTGAGCCAGGCACAGTGGGATATACCTACAAACCCAGTGGTTCAGGAGGCTGAGGCAGGAGAATCGTAAGTTCAAAGCTAGCCTCAGCAACTTACCGAAGCTCTAAGCAACTTAGCAAAACTCTGTCTCAATATAAAAACTAAAAAGGGCTGGGGATGTGGCTCAGTGGTTAATCATCCCTAGGTTAATTTCCCAGTATCAAAAAAATGAAATGAAATAAAATAAACCTAACTGAATTATTCTGAAGTTAGATTACATCAAGGATGTTAAGAGCTTAGTCTGGTGCCTGATAAAAAGTGAGGAACTCAATAAATCACCGGTAATATTATTATCAGTTATCAATTTAAAAAGAAGAGTAAAGAATATGAACTATATAAGATCACATATAATCTTTGTACATTTATAAAATTCCCAAGTACTATAAAAGGAACAGATGTGTGTGTGTGTGTGTGTGTGCGCGCGCGCGCGCGCGCACATATAGGGATATATACACACATATTACACATATCTCATATAGATACATACACACATATATCATACACACATATACACATGTATGTATGTATATTTATGTATGCATGTACATATATACATATGTATATATTTATGTATACATACATATATATGTATAAAAGCATGGTTTATATAAACCATGCTTTTCCAATTTGTCTTAGCAAACATTACTGAACACTCAATACAAATCAAATGCTATACTACATATATATAAAGGCAAAGATTTTGAAACGCTTAGTAACTCCAACAAATATTCACTAAGAACCTTATTTGTTCCAGAAACTATGATGATTGTTCAAGACAAACAGAAAACTTTGCTCTCATAGAGCTTACAATCTGGAGGCAAAGGAAAAGAATTTAAGCAAATAGTCAAAATCATGATTATAAACAGAGTAGATGATGTTGAGAAAAAGGGGCATAAAACAAAATATTAATGAGACTAGAAGTAGAGAACAGATCTCTGCCCTTCAAATGTTTATAAAAATGATATTTTATAAATAAATTGTATTAATGAGGGCATTAAAAATGAGTAAAGAGAAGGAATGCAAAAGAACCCAGCATATAAAATTAACAAGAGACATCATTCTAACATTTCTCATTACTTCTACCTCTCCCATTCAAGAATAATCCAAACAAAATGAAATAACTATTAAAATAAACTTGCTCAAATTTTAGATCTTGAAAGTCACCTGAACTTTGAAATGCTGAAGTGTTCCTTTTAACAACATGAGAGATTTACTATTAACTCATTTTATAAATTAAATCTATATTCAACATAATACTTTATTGATTAACAATAAGTCTTCTTAAAGGAAGATTCTCTATTTCTTCTCATAACAGAACAAATGGACTCTAATAAAACTCTTTAAGAAAACACAGCACTTGAGGGTGTAAAAAATCAATGTCACAAAAAGAAACATTTACTACAAAAATTTTTCACTCTACCCTTTTTTAAAAAGTTGTTTTGTCAGCTATAAATATGCAAGTGACCCAAGGAGAGGTCAAATGAGGATTTTATTTTGACAAGCACTTCTGAGGGCATTTTTACCTCTGACGTTACTTGGAATTCCACCAGAATGAAGAGCAAGGATACCTCTGCTGTACTAAACTTTCAACTCTAAATTGCCATGTGGAAATGTATTGGTATTTCTAAGTATTTAAAAATTATTACATGCTTTGATTTAAAATAATTACAAATAGTGTCATGTTTTACTTCTTTCCTAGCTATTAATTCTTATACCTATCCTGAAATTTTATCTGAGATTTACAGTGTTGGGGAAACACATTTTTCTTACATGGTTTTTTAGTTGGAATAAAAAATAAACAGTATCTCATTTATTCTTAAAGTTTTTTATTTAGATTTTGTCAGAATAAATGGAATTTCTAATAAATGTTATATATCACTGCAATTTTCTTAACCTGCTTTTAAAGTCCTTTATATATGTTTAGTCATCATCAGCTATAGCAATAAATAAGTAAATGCATAAAAGTACAAAAATTTTCTTAAATATTTATTTACACAATACAGAAAATATTTCCAATTTCAGAAGCCAGCATACCTGCGATTTAATCTCACTTCTGCCTTTTTAATCTGGGGTAGATAATTTTAAATTCTTTTATATTTATTTTTTTGTTGTTGTAGTTGAACACAATACCTTTTTATTTTATTCTTATGTGGTGCTGAGGATCGATTATTTTATGTGGTGCTCAGGGTCTCACACATGTGAGGTGAGCACTCTACCGCTGAGCCACCCCCAGCCAGATAATTTTAAATTCTCTGGGCTTCAGTTTTTCTTCTTATACACAGGCACCATATTTTCTATCAATTAGTATTTAGTATTAAATGATTTTATATTTATATTTTAAAAGCATGTACAATTCAGTACCTGATATATGATAAATACTAATAATTGCTAGCTCTGATATTTTATATTTAAATCTCTGATTAAATAAGATGATGTGAAAGGCACAAACTAATTTTGTCTGCAGTTCTTTGTAAACTGCACATTATTTTGGAAAATATAAATTATGTCCATGCAAATAAATGTATCCATGAAAATAAATGAGTACAAAGAAAATAAGAAAACGAAACAAGTAACAGATAGTCTCTAAAATTTTCCTGCATTTTTCTGGTTCAGGCTAGAGGGTTATACTAAAACACTTGTTGCCAAAATTGCTAGATTAAAATGTAGGAAAATTTTATGGCTCTTGATATGAACTGCTGATTTGTTTTCTGTAACCATTGTATCAATTTGCAAGGCCATAAAATGATACATTTAAAATAAAGACTACTGCTAATAAATAGTACCATCTCAAGACTGCTTTCATTTATACTTCTTTGTCAATTTGACTTCAAATGACAATACATGTGTGGAATATTAAGAATAGGACTGCAGCATAATAGGACTGTAGATATGAGTTCAGTTTATTCTAGAATAATATATCATCAGTGAGGATGAATTCAGTAAAACCAACAACAAAATCTAGAAGAGCCAAAGTCATCTTTGAAGTATGAGACACTACTAAAACCCTTGCAGATGTGACACCATAGGAAATCCATGCCAGTGTTTCAAACATGTTCTAACCTTTTATACTGATGCTATAAAGCAGCAAGAGACATCTTTTCATTATCTGCAAAATTAAAATATGAGCACTCTGTAACATATAGGAACTATCTGAGGTTGGGACTTCAGAATAAAACCAGTAAGCCAAGTGTGAATTTTGCAAAGAATTAGAACAGCATGGCAGCAGCCATTTCCAGAAGCACATGATAATTCACTGCAGCAAGCTGCAAAAAGCATGTGGATTCTGAAATTCAGAGTCTGACCAACACTCCCAAAATTTCTGTGTGACTTTTCTATTATAAGGGTGGCTTCTACTTTAAAGTAAAGACTATATATAGCACAATGTATAAAGGGTATAAATCCAGAATACACAAAGTTTTAAATTTCTTATCAGAAAACACATAAAGATTAAAAACTTAGAGGAAAAAAATTATACTGGTATGCAAAAACACAATAGAAATTAAGGTCAGTATTGAGAAAACTAATAGCTTTTGTTCTACTTTTTATTAGCTGTGATACCTTGGTCATGTTACTAAACCTCCTGAGGCTCAGTTTTCTGAGTAAGATGGAGAATTATTATAAAGCTAAAATGCGTATACCTAACACAATTACAAACAAAAGTAATGGCTTATTAAATTCTAGTTATCACTTAAGAAAGTGAAGGAAAACAACTAAAAAAAAGTAGAACTAACCTAATCTTTGAGATTGAAATAATGTTGCCAATTATAGTAGAATACAAAGTTGTTATATTATAAAATTTAAAATATAACACTAACTGAAGTACAGCAAACTAAACTGACTTCTGCTGCATTAAATTGTGGTTTAAGAACAATGTTTATTCTTAGTTGAGATAGGGTCTGGTTTCCTTCTAATCCAGTGACACAGCCATCACCCATGGGTGATGTATGAGCAGCTACTGTTTTGTACATACTCATTAAATTCAATTTCAAAAAGAGAACCCAACTGAAATATCACCCTATCTTATGCAGTATTAAACAGCCAATGTAATGTAACTTAGAATCTAAAGCTTGTCCTTTCCTTTCTACATCTCAGCTATAAAAACACAATATGTTTATAATGTCTGTTTTCATAATTGTGAAATATCTTTTATTTAGAATACATAAAGGAGAAGAATCATGGGCATGACTAATGCATTTTCTTATGTATGAACACTTAAAATATTGTTGCTTTCCTGATTATAAATTTTACTCTCAGAGAAAAATGAAATTACTACTGACTAACATGCCTGTGGCAAGTCAGTCTTGATGAAAGAATATGCAAATGAAGCTCTATAACCAAATAGAAATTTGCATAGAAAAATATCCAGTAGAGAATAAAACAGACACTAGTATTGCTGTATGTATTAACGTGGCTGTATAACCAATGTGATCCTGCAATCTGTACATGTGGACAAATGAGAATTCAGACCCCATTTGAATCAAATGTATGATATGTCAAGATCATTGTATTGTCTTGAGCAACTAATAAAAAAAGAAAAAGAAAAAAGAAAAATATCCAGTAGAGTGCTCAACTTGGGGAAAAGTAATCAATAACATTTCAATGGTTTTCCATTACTCATTCAGGATAATAAATTTTATAAAAATAAATAGTAAAATTGTTTCTAGGCATAGGGACAAGCTGCCACATAGGTTTGCCTGAGAGTTGGTACCAGGTTAGATGCATGCTTACGCCCTCTCTCCCCTCACCCCTCTCCTCTACCTTACTGGCTTCTACTTCTCTGCTGAAAATTCTTATCCTCCAAATGTTGGAGTGCCCAAGTTCTCATTCTCTAGTACACGCCCCATAGGCAATCTCAATTCTTCCTTTCTCTAGCTTCAAACATCTGCACAGATGATCCTCAAATATCTCTCTCTAGCTTCTTTCTAAATGGATGTTTATTTAACACTCTGAACTTAACCCATCCCAAATCTGCTCCTCCTCAGACCTACCTCCTGTCTCCCTACTACATTCTACAAACAATCCATCAGGAAATCCTACTCTCAAATCCAACCACTTAACCATTACTGCTTCTAGGCTAAGCTACGTCTTCTCAACTCTGAATTACTGCGTTAACACCCTAATTGTTCTCCCTACTTTCCATTTCTGGCTCCCTACAGTCAGCTTTTTCCACATAGCAGCCAAAGGGAATTCTTTTAAAACATAAAATCACATCACATCACTTCCCTACTCAAACCTTCCAGAATCTTTCTTCTTATCATCCTTCATATAAAATCTAAATTCCGTGCCATGGCCAAAAAGATACTACATAGCCTGCTGCCTAGCTACCACTCCATTTCCATTCATTCAGAGTACTTTACTGGCCCTCTTATTGCTTTTGCAAATAAGCCAGGAATACTCCTACCTGCACATAGCGTTTGCTCTACCTGCAATGCTCCTGCCCCAAATCTTGTTGAAGTTCACTCTCTTATTATAACAAGATCTCTGGTTTAAAGACTTCTTCCCTGGCCATCCTATTAAAAAAAAAAAAAAAAAAAAAAAGTTTCTCCCATTGGTTTCTACAATTTTTACCTTATTATTTTCTTCTTATCGCCAAACACTATCTGACATTATTTTTTATTTGTATTTATTACTACTTATCTCCTTTACTAGAATGTAAGCTCAATGAAGAACCAGCCTTCTATATTCCTTGTTTACTTTTCAAGTCTGATGCATGGTAGGAATTCAAATATTTTTGTTGAATGAACATGCTATTTTTAAGTCCTATTAAAGGGTTAATGAAAACATGAGGTTTGAAATTTCAAGTAAAATTATAAACTTAAAACACTATAATCAGAAGCATATAGCCATGCATCATTTAAAGATCAGAACATGTTCTGCCAATGCATCATTATGTAATTTTTTTGTGTGAACATCATAGAATGCACTGACACAAACTACATTCTACACACAATCTACATCATTAGGCAATAAGAATTTATGGTACCAAAGTCATCTATGCAGTTTGTCCTTGTCCAAAACATGATTATGTAGCCCATGATTGTATTCTCTAGGACATTCAAACAGTCATGCATGTATAACTTTGTCTCCTAATTTGTGTTTATGAATTGCAGTCTTCAAGATTTTATCATTTAAAATAATTTTAGAATCTTTGCCTTAAAAATTGTGCTAATACATAAAATACTTTTATTTCATTGAACTTTATTTTCTTAGTTATTCTTGTAAAATACCAGATGAAAGAGTCATTTTTTTTGTATTTCAAATATAATTAGTTTACATCTACAGAAAACTTTAAGTTAACAATAAATGTTTTTAAAATATTTCTTCAAAGCAATTTCTCTTACTGTATTCTTGATCCACAACAGCCAAAACCAAGAACTAATAATCATAATTGCCCATCCCCAAGTAGAGGATGGACAGAAGCAACTTTGTTCCAATGCTTAAAAGGTGGAAGCTTGAAGACTCATGGCTTACATGGCTTATAATAAAAAATATCTCTCCATGGGTTTGTCCTTATGTCCATATTAACATATATCATCCATTCTTTTTTCCAAGTAAATGGTACTTCATTACTTAGTATAGTTTTTTTTTAATTCACAGTTATTATACAAAGGTAAACAGCTACCCTTTCATGCTTAACTTCTTTTTCACTTATAAAGTGATGTCATAGGTAAAAATTGAATTTCTATAAGAAAAGATGACTGATAAACTTTGAAAAATAGGCACATTCAGAGATTTAGATCATAAAAGCCCACAACTTCTCAACTTATATATAATACACAAAGTTATTTTTAAACTACAAATACAAATTTATTGTATATTAACTTTCCAAAATATAAAGTATTCGCTTTTACTCTTTGGTGAAGTGATTCTTTCTCTTAAAAAATTACAGCCCTCAGAGCTTATAAGAATAGATGGAATGACAAAATTAGATACTCACCATTTTGGAACCCACTGAGTCAGGTAAAATCATCATGAATCTTAAAAATCCCAAAGTATCATTTCACTGATTATTTGCTAATAAGCAGGTTGTTTCTAAAATATTTAGATAGATAGTGTTACCACCTTAACCAAATGCACACAATTAACTTCACTAATGGTGATAACATTTGGCTTTTGCTGAGATGCAACATAAAGTCAGAGTACCACCTATGAAGTACTATTGCCATAATGTCTAGCCAGAATTGAACTACACCTCTGGATCAAAATTCCACTTTATAGAAAATGAATAAAATACGAGAGTAAGTTAAATATCACCATAAGGAAACACGTAGGTAAATCCTGGCTTATCTTCATCAAGATATTAATGTCATGAAAGAAAAAAATGGGCTTATTCTAAATTGAGAGAGACTAAAAACACAGAACAAAACAAATGCAGCTTGAAAACCTTGATTCATTCCCCCTCACCCATGGGAAATAATCAGGAAGATTTTACATGATAAAGAAGTGAAGTGTGAAGTGTCATGATGCCTGCAACTTACTGCCAATGTCTCAGAAAATACAAATACATATGCACATACATAGACAGACCCAGATGTGCTAAAATGTAATCTGATGATTTAAAAGGTAGTCCTAGTCTCCCAACTTTTTGATAAACTTTAAAAAATTACAAAATAAAAAGTGATTTTTTTTTTTGCATATATGTTCAACATTTACAATACCTGGTTCTTGAATGACATCTACTTTCCCCACACTGATTTGAAGTGTTTCACCATTCTTTGCAAAAGTCTCCCATTCAGAATCAGTCTGCTGGCAGGATGGACACCATGGGGCATAACTAGAAGAGAAGAATAGTTAATTAGCACAAATATATGGAAAAAATTATAAGAAAAAATAGAGGAATAGAATATTTAAATGAAAAAATAAATTCTAAACTAAAGAGAAGTATAAAAATCAAGCTTTTCCAAAGTCCTTTAAAATAGAAAAAGAGAAGCATACTTTCCCTCTAGAATTTAATATATGAATATCAATTCTATTGGAAAAAATTAGTCAAAGTTTGAGGAATTATTGCTATATATAAAATGTTTAATGCTATTCTTACACTTAAACTGAACTTTGTTACTTTCTAAATATATTTTGATCTCTGAGGATGAATGCACTTTGAGTGCCCCACTAAAGGAAAGTAATTTTCACAAGGTTACCCTTATGATAAACCAGTTTCAGATCCATCAAAGCTGTAGATCTACTAGATAGGGGCCAGAAGTTCTGTCATTAGTGGGTCCTCAAGCATGTTTCCAAACATCTGAGTATCTGTGTTCTGAATCATTCCAAGAAGAAAAGGAAAAGTTCTATACAACACTTTTTTAAATTGAAAAAGAGTTAAAAATACTTGGGCCTTCAAGCAGAAATCCCACTTTTTATATATATTTCTTATTCAATAAAAAATATTAATTTACATTTAATGTTTACATAAAAAAACATTAAGCACTCTACTAAAAGCTGAGGTCACAACAGTGAATGGGATAGATGTGGTGTCTCCTTTCCTTGTGGCTTGTATTATCCAGGGGTGAAGAGAAGATACAGACGGGTAAATACAATCGAAGTGACAAATGCTATGATTGAGAATGCTGAACAGATGCTATAGTGACACTGAGGAGCTTGGGTACCTCAGAAAGAGCCACTAAGAAAGATTTAAAACAGGAGTACCATCAGGGAGGGGTCAAAGAATGTTCAACCCTTAGCAGAGAAAAACAAATATGTGTGAAGACTCAGAGCCCTGAGACAATACTTTAGTGGCTTCACCTTGCCCTCCCATGTCTGGAAAACACCATAAAGATATACACTACAAAGCTCTAAATTTTTTTCAGGGTTTAATCTGCAATTGTTAAGATGAGAATCCAGAGAAGTTTACTGCTCAGAAAGTGTTGTTGGTTGAATAATATTCCCCCAAAAGATATGTCCAAGTGCTGGCCCTGGTATCCATGAATATGACCTTACTTTAAGTAGGAGTCTCTGTACGTATAATTAAAGATCCCAAGATGAGATCATTCTGACTTAAGATGGGCTCTAAATCCAATAACAGTTGTTTGAAGAGGAAGAAAAGGGAGCTTTGACAAAGATAAATAGGCAGAAGACCATGTGAAGATGGAGGCATAGAAATGAGTAATATAGCTACAAGCCAAGGAACACCCAGGGATGCCAGCAGCCACCTCATAGAGGCACCAAAGGGACACTCCTACAGAGCCTACTGGGGCCCCCAGCCCTGCTGCATTCTGGCCTTCGAAATTTGACCTTCAGAAAGGTGAGAAAATAAATTTCTGTTGTTTAAAATCACCCCATCTGTAATTTGTGATAGCAGATCAAAGAAACTAATACAGAAAGGAAGACATCCTTTGAAATTAGAAGGAGTTAGATCAAACAAGCTGTATAGAGATTTAACAAAGCTTGCAGGATTATGCTTAATATAAAATATTGTGAACAAACAATACCACATGCTTGAAATACATTCAAAATACTATCATGACAAAATTAAAAGGAAAATTAACATTTTCAGAATAATGGCACAAAAATACATTGGAACAAATGGAGAAACATTTGGTTTTGAATAATTCCCAGAACAATAGAAAATAAAATAATTAGTACTCACAAAATAGAACAGGATACTCCAGGCAAAAATAAATAAATCATTGGGCGCATTTTAAGTAACATTTCAGGATGCCACCAACTAGACATATTTTTTTAATCTACTTAAACTTTTGAAAAAAATCTTTAATGTAAGTCAAAATATTGAGGAAATAAATAAAATAGACATAAGAAAAAATTGCTATCCCTAGATTGATCACATGTAATGAGTCTCACAGTATAAAAATTTTACCACCAAAGGATAATGGACAGAAAGTACAGATGAAACAAGACTGACAAGGTATTGATAACTGCTAAACCTGAATGATGGGTAAAATAAGGATTTACTACACACCTATTTTGTGTAGAAAGATTTTTTAATAATATTTTTTAAAAGACTTGATTGAAGAGATACACCAAGTTTTTGGTAAACATTATAAAATGCTCAATTTATTTTTTATGTTTTCAATTCCAGAATTGTTTTTACAAAATCGTTTTCACAAAAAATATTTCTGCATTAAGAGAGGGAAGAGGCAGGGGAGAAAAAGAAGTAGGAAAAAAATGCCTGCCAAAAAAACAAACACATACACCAAGTCCTAGGAAAGGAAACAGAGTAAAGGGGAAAGGTAGTAAATTGATCCAATTTTTAAATAAGGTTTAGGGTTAAAGGGATGTCAGATCACCTGTGCAAGCAAGTCCTTTTAAAATCTTGAACTGTGCAAAGTTCTATTCAAACAATCAAAGCAATTATACACATGCACTTTGCAGAACAACAACAAAGTAAAAAAAAAAAACTGCAATCAGGAAAGATTTTAATATTTCACATTATAAAAAGGTAGGGTGGGGATGTTAAAAAGACAAGACTAGGGGAAAGGATGAATTTATTTTAGATAAAATACTGGAAATTAAGCAGAAATCAGAAGAAACAGGATGCCCAAACCTCTATCCAATCAGGCCCCAAAAGCAGCAAGACTAGCAAAACTCCCTAATGACATCTCTAGAAAAGACTATTCTAGCTAATCCAAAGATTGCTCTAAAAGACCATTAGTCTTCCCATTATAGAAGATCTAGAAGACATGGGCTAGAGAACATTCCTGTAACATTTTTTTAACATGGATTTTTTTTAAAATTTTATCTCTATATTTCCAGGGCAAAGTATATTCCCGATACACAGTAAGTGGTCTAGAAATGTATGCTGAATAAGCAAATGTATAAACTTCAGTAAAAATTTCATTTTCATTCTTCATAGAAAAAAAGTTATTTTCTATATAACTTCTAAATATCCAAAAGGCAGATGAGTCTTAGGCAGTTGGCAAACTTTAAAGAAAAAGGAACACTAAATCATTCAGAATATTTCAGTAGGCATTTCAGGATTTTGAATAAGAGCTCTGCTACAGGAATCAGATCAACCATGAATTACCCATGTGATTTTGGGCAGGTTAATAATCTTTCCATGCTTAAGCTTCCTCAACTATAAAATGAGATAGTAACAGGAGCTACCTTACAAGGTTATTGGAAGGTTAAATGATACATACAAAGCAAGCACACAGTAAGAATGATCATTAACACAAACTACATTTGCAATACTCTGCTAGGTTTCCAAGACACGTTTATAATACCTCACCTCAGCTCATCTGAACTTCATATCCTTGCTGACAAAGAGAGAAAGCAGGTTTAGAGAGACTTGCTTAAGTCTTAAGACCACTTAAAGCAAGAACACAGATGGAGGTATCTGTGATTTAAAAAAAAAAAAAATCTTCAAGATACAACATCAACAAAAAGACAACATCACCACCAACATTCAGAGGGAAAGAGGTAGGAGGCATAAGAAAGAATGTACAAAAATAAGGAAAAACCCTTGAAGGACAATTTAATGGATTTTAGATATTCTCTGCTTAATTTCTCTAGGACTCTGTCTTTGCATACATGTGCTACATTACTAATTATTAAACCTTGCAAATTTCACAAATTTTAAAAAATCAAGCCCTTAGTCGCTAGACTGTTATGTAAATTAGATTTTTGGTGAAACTGGTATTCAGATATGCAATTATGATACACCATCAGATAAGCCATTGAAGTAATTTTAGTTATTCCATTTTCTATGTTGCTGCTACCACTGGGCTGTGGATTGTCAAAGCCATTATTTCTGATATTTAGTCAGAGCTGGTTGTGGTGGAATACACCAACATGTTCCTTCAATTGTGGAGATAAGCCAGTTCTGGATTAAGTAAGAGAACTGACCCATTGTTGCCACAGCTTTTTTATGTGTACTCCTGTATTCTTCTGTATATAAGGGATAATAATTTAAACAAGAATTTAAAACCTATTATAAATAAAATATTGCCAGGGGTAAAATGAATGCATAGATATGCCATGTGATCTTCGAGTTTCTCTCTCCCCCCCCCACATATATGTATATATAATTTATTTATGTACATGTGCATGTAAGCATAAATAAAACTCGTTGGAAAGAACCAAACATGGTCTTTCTTTACATTGTTTAAAACAAGGAGACAGGCACAGTGGCAGATGTCTGTAATCAAAAGTTCAATCCATCCTGGGAAAACTTGTCTTAAAATTTAAAAAATTATTAAAAGGCTGGGGACACAGGTCAGTGTATAGAGGGCTTGCCTACCATTTTCTAGTCCCTGAGTTCCATTCCCAGTACTGAAAAGAAAAAAAAAAAAAAAACAATTACCTCATAGTAGCAGTCTTTTCTTAAGAACTATAAAAAAAATCTTATCTGCCAGTAAGTGTGTCCTTTACACATAATGTAATCCTCTTTGATTTCAGAGTCTCTATGGGGAATTAGTATATCATTGTATTCCTGGAAACTAGGTCAACATATTTTCTATTAAAACATTTTGCAAGTCATAGTGATATGTAAAATTACAAAGCTTCATAAAGACATCTGAAATATATTTCAGATAACCAAAATGCTGTTAAATTACATAACTTGGATATAAGTTTAACGTTTTTAATCATTTCTGGGGAACCAAATTCAACAGCACACCATTGTTATCTATGGTAGTATTCATATACAAAGTACACTGAGGTTCTGCTAGATGCACGGTGATGATACGTTTTTTGTATGAAGTCACCAAATTCAATTTCATTAGGTGTACTAAACATTTCAGAGGGAAGACTTAGTTAAATTTATTTTTTGGAATTTTTATTAAAAATAAGTTTTTATTCACCAATAATGGACAATTTTTCTTCTGTCTTCACTCCAATCTCACTAGTATTTTGTACTACATTCATAGAAGTGAGAAGGACAATGAGACATGCAAACATTTGCTAAATGAAATGAATGTAACTTATGCTATTTATTTCCTTCAGAGCATTATAAAATGCCAGTCCCTTAAAATCAAGGTTGTAGCTCATTCACCTCCACCTTCCCAAGTCTTCAACCCTGTAAAGAACCTACAACAAGAATTTAAGCAACTACCTCTTTAACAGTCAATCAATAAAATCAAGACAATCTATAAACTGCAGGAAATGACAACTACTTGACACAGATAAGTTAAGGAAATAATGTTCAATACACCCTCTAGGCATGAGAAGAATACTAGAAAGAAAATTCCAAAATCTAGAGGTCCTAAGCAAATAAATGAGGCTTTACTCCATCACCAGGTGTCTAATCTGTTTTGAAACATGAGCAGCCCAAGAACAAGGTCAGAAAAAGTATTTTATAAAAAATCAACCTGATCTGATTTACAGAAGTAATGTGATTTAACTCAAATATTTTTATATTTTTTCATTGCATTTTGGTTTAACGATAAGCAGGTCAAAAATAAGCTATTTGGATATCTGCTTGTTTATCTGCTTTGTTTAGCTATCAAAACAGTATACAGAGTGTATCATATTGCATACTCTTGTGTTTCTAAAGAATAAAAGCGGTATTCTCAAGGACTGACATAATGGAAGCCAAGCAAGTATTTAAAACAGCAAAAGGTTCCAAGCAACGGAATGGAACACAACATAAAAAAGAAAAGAAAACATGGGAAGATCTTAAAAAAAAAAAAAAGCACAGCAAGCCAGTTGTAGTGCCATGGCAGAAATGGATGAGTGTTATAAAATGATTATATGAAAGCAAACAAAAAGAGAAAACAGAGAATACAGTAAGCCCTTAGCATTAAAGAAAATATAAGCAGTAATAAAATTCTTTTGCAGATTTGTAAAAAGGTTTCAGAATAGAAATGAATTACTGCAAATATATTCTTATCTGATAATTTCTCTTTAACACAGCACTGCTTTTCTAAAACTGGAAATTCAGCTACAAGGATCCCCAAAATTGTCTGTTTGAAAGACACAGAAAATATAACAAATTGAATTTTGTATTTGGATCTTTTCATGTCTCAGAGCCAGGCAAACATTGGTAGGTCCTTAAAACTAAATGAAATTAACAGCACAAATATAACCATAAATTGCATTACAGAGGCTTTATATGACATGAGATATAGAACAGGAGATTCCCAGAAGAAAAGTTCCTTATAAGCAAATGAATAAAGAAAGAACTGTCATTCAAAGTGATGTTAGATTCTCAAACTTTTTTCTTTTCTTAAATTTTTTTAGATGTTGATGAATCTTTATTTTATTCATTTATTTATATATGGTGCTGAGAATCCAACACAGTGCCTCACACATGCCAGGCAAGTGCTCTAACACTAAGCAACAGCCCTACCCCCCTTATCAAATATTTAATACCATGAGAAAGTTTCCCAACATTTCTTCTTTAGGTAGTTCAACACATCAGCAGCAGACTCTAGTTACCTCCAATTATAAAACCAGTTCACTTGAGCACAATGTTGATCTGGGAAGTAGCATAAACACATTTTGTTTTTCTCTTATGAGAAGAAAAACCTGATAATGTTTGAATCCCTAGAACGTCATAGGCCTATAGTGGTATCAATAATATAATGAATCTTATATTTTTTAAACTGTTGGATTTTTTCAAAGGGAAGAGAAGGAGTATCATCTAATAATACAGAAAATAAATCAAAAATAGACAAGAGCTATAGTATTTATTCAGAGGAAACATTTCTGAAGAGGTTCTGGTATGCAGAAATTGGAATGTAATTTGGGTGAATCCTTTCCTTTCCTGTCATTTCCTATCCACTAATTCTGCAGAATACTCCATGTAAAGAGAACTCCTACTAAAATGATCTCAATATGTACACAGCTTACTTCCAGGTTACAAGACTCTTTTTGCATCACAGTGCAAGCTTACACAAGACAACTGGACAAATGGCAAGCTTATCGCATATGATCTCTCCCATCTACGCTTATACATTTATAAAAAGGTACAATGTGAACCATCAACATAACCAAACATAAGAGTTATTGGCTGTCACTCATTTTTAGAAACTTAGTGGGGCTTCAACTCACCAATGATTTAGTGTTCTTAGTTCTCTGACTTACCAAAAAAAAAAAGCAATTCCAAAAGAAACCATAAACATAAAGGAGCTGAGGAGTTGACAACATTAAATATGAGTTTTCTTCTTTGACTGTTATCACCTACATACACAAACTGTTTTAATCAGAAAATTAACATCCAGGAAAAGAACGTGGTGTAAAAATCTACTAGGAGAAAAAAAAAAAAAAAAGACCTTTCCGTAGTATTAGCTGGCAAAATGCAGTTTCTCTAAAGTTCTTACAGTTATTCGAGGGAAACAGGCATTCCTAACATAAAGCTCCACTTAGTTTAAAAGTTTCTCTTAAATAGAATATGATTTCCTCACTTCCTTCCAAAGTAGTTGAGTGGTTTACTTTAATTGTTCGATCCTCTAGCTTTTTTCCAACAGTTTTACTGATTTATTATGATAACAAGGGCATTTATTTTGAGTTCTAAATATTCCTTTTTTTGTAACCAAAAGCTAAATTCAAATTTGAAGAGATAGTATGCATATGTTCTTTGAGCAATGTAATTTGTTAAGTGACAACTTCGTCCATCATCTCAACACTGTTTTTACTCTATTAGGCATCTGCTTGCAATCTAAATTGCAGTCTAAGGAATCAAAATTTGGTCTTGGATAAAGACAGATCCAATTTTGAGAGTCTTTTGTGCCGAATGAAAAATTAATTATCAAATATTAGGAAATATATATACACATATATGGCCTGAAACCACAGGCTACAGAGATGTGGTCTCAGCCATTATTTCTCCAGAACTTCATTTTCCCTAAAAGCCCATCATGATGGTCTCTCAAGTCTATTCAAACAACTGTCCTCGGTCAACTTCAAGTCTTCTTTCAAATGATTACTTCCTTACTATTCAGAGTTAATTGAAAGCTACAACCAACAAATCCCCTGCCTTCTCCTAACTAAAAAACAGTTGCCCACCCCTTTCAAGCAAAAGCACTGAAAACATTTTACCTTCTGTTGTTCAAAAGGAACAATTTGTTAATAACCTACTCTTTATAAAGTCAGCACAATTAAATTATTAAATCCACCTAAAAGATCGACCTCTAAAAATTATATAGTATCAGCATTTATTTGTAATCCTGTTTTAAAACTAAAATGCACGCTTGTTAATGTTTTATTCTCACAATGACATCTCAAGGTCTTCAAAAGAAAAACTAAGACATTAGTACAAAGTGGTTTCCCTTCTCTAATCTACTGTAACTTATTCAACACAAATGTTACCTATCCTTTCCTCCTTATTCATACTGTACATGATGTCACTGAATGACTGCCAATTATCCCATACACGTATACTCACTCCTGTGAGGGCACGGTTTTCATGCAGATTTCCTCCCCTCCACCCTCTTTCCCTTGGTAAGCTGCATTCTCTCTCCCAGAAACAACCTCCCCTAAAGCAAGTGAGAAAAATGTGGGGATGCACTTCACCCCTAGCCGTCAGCGCGGAGGGTCTTGCGCGCATGCGCAAAGGAGGTCGGCCCCCGCACCGCAGGTCGCTGGCAGGGTGGGTACCCGGCCCTAGGTCTAGCCAAGCCGGACCACTCTGCGAGCCGACCACGCGGGCTGCGGGAAGGTGGCGCCCGCGAGGATAATGTGGCGAGCGGGGCGGGCGGGCACACTCACAATTTCAGCATCCACTCGCCTTCCATCACCAGTGTCCAGTTGGAGGCGGTCATGGGCTGGACTCGGCTTTGCTCCGCCGGCAGCACAGCCTGCTCGGGGCCCTCGGTCGCCGCCAATGCCACAACCGAGGCGACCAGAAGCGTCGTCAGCAGTGGGCCGCAGCGCCCGCCCGCCATGTTGGGCGCGGAGTAACACTCCCCAGCAGGGAGTGTGGGCCAAGGAAACTACAGGGCCGAGGCCTGGTCGCCTGCCCGCCCGGCGGGGCCTTGCCAGGTAGTCCAGAGGAGATGCCCAGCCGCCCCGCCTCCGCCTGGCAGTGTGTACAGACCCCGCTCGCGACACCGGCGGGCGGCCGGCACCGCCTCTTATCGGCCTGCGTCCGCCGAGGCCACGCCCCCTCCCGCCTCGCCTTGCCGTTGCCCGGGGGTGTCGGTTGCCATGGCAACAGCCGCCCTTTCTCCCTGACTGCCACACTGAAAATAAACAGATGACCCAACGTTGTTTAAGTTAGTGCCAGCACCGCTCAGGCCCCTGGAATAGCGGGTTGGAGCGCGTGCGTTTCTCTAAAGAGAAACGTGGCCGGTCATTTAAAATCCATGCTCTTTAAAATAGCAGCAGGGGGCTGTGGAGTAATCTTAAGGTCACTGAAAAATGGAGGGACATGTGGGCTGGCTTCTGGCTGAAAAATTTAAGTGCTTTCTGCATGTATACATTGAAGCATCACCGCGTAATTGGAGATGATGATGAAACTAGACGATTCGATTTTATATAATTTTTACTAAAATATTTTAATTTTATTAAAAATTAAAACATGAGCACTGACAGATGGATGCATCATTTAATAAGAATATGGCCATGGGCAACGCAATGAACTTCACCTTTCTCTCAGCTATAGTTTTGTTTGTGTTTTAAGATAAAAGTAGTCTTCAAGTTCAAAAGCCAACCTCAGAAACTTAGCAAGGCCCTAAGCAACTTAGGGAGACCCTGTATCAAAATAAACAAAATTAAAATTAAAAGGGCTAACGATGTGGCTCAGTGGTAAAGTGCTCTGGATTCAAACCCCTGTGCTAAAAATAAACAAATAATTAATTTAAAAAATAAAATAAGCTGTAGTCTTAAATGATTTCCAAATCTCTTTGCAGGTAATACATTAGATGAATCTGGGGGACCACCACACCCTGAGTAGGTAAGACTGGTTACAATTAAAGCGTGGGTGAGTGATTTCAAAGTTGCTTTATAAGCCTTTACTAGGTGTACAAAGCATGAAACTCAGTAGTGTAGTTACTAGATCTTGAAAAAGAGGTGGTTGCTTAGACACACTAAGAGTACTTCAAGCACCTGCAATCACTCTCCAATCAGTAATATATAAGTAAGAAAGATGAGTTTTACTTGCAGAAAAGAGCTTGTCTGAATTAGGTGTTAATTAGTATTAGATAAAACCTATGTAGACACAGCTCTTATCATCAAAATATAACACTAAAGAGTTTACAAACTATTGTAAATTAGAAAAATGTCTTTGCAATGAATGTTACTAAGACTTTTATACATCAATCCTGCAGTCAATAGAAAATAGTTTACTGTGTTAACAAGAGGGAGAAATCATCTCAGGCACAAAAGAAACTCACTGCTGGAGCATTTCCTATCTCAACTACAAATTGTGTGTTCAGTAATTGCATTTCTTGGCCTTCAGATGAAGGAGGACAGAGAAGACTGAAGGAAACAATATAGCAGGAATGTGTGGAAAGGACTTTGTCTTGAGGAAGCATAAAGCAGCCTAAAAGGAAGCAGCTGCTGTCAGACTGTGACAGCCTTTCAGTTCTGACACATCCTAGCCAAGTGATTGTGGCTTGTACCAAACTTACGTGAAAAAATGATAGAACCTGCTTTAAAAGGTGGCTACGAAGATAATAAAAGAATAATGCCTATGACATGGTATAATCCAGAAGAGGTTATTATTATTTGGAGTCAATAATACCCTATAATACTTTTGAGGCCTTCTAATTTTCCCGAAGTAATGTCCTTCACATTCAGCTTCATTTCTACCGCTTACATTCTACCATTCTCCAATCTCCCTCAATCACGTGCAAGGATGGCCTCCCACAATCTCCCTTGCTCCAGTAACACAAAACTACCCTCCTTTCCCAAAGCACACTGGTGCTTGGATGCCTCCCTGCATCTTTATTCTGCTTAAACACTCTTCTTCCCTAGTTGCCTAGTGAGGCATTATTTAACCTCTGTCATGTAGCTCACAGTGTTCCTCCAATAGACCATGCAAAATGTGCTGCTATCTCCTTTCAGATCCAATAACACTTATGTGTAACTCTACCATACTCCTTTTAGATTCAACACATTTACATTTAGTTATCACTCTCTCACCTCAGTTCTCCAATCCATACTAGGTACTCTTCAAAGTTAAGGGTCTTACCTTAGGCATCTTTGTGTCTCCAAAATAGCAGAATTCACGCCTCATAGCAGTACTTGGGGTAAACAATTTTTGACACAGGGCCAAAGATCTTCATCTCTTGGTGTTCAGGCCCTTGTGTAATTCTCTCTTCTTGAGTGTGTACTGGGCCCAGCAACTCATTTTGAATTGGCAAAATATGATGAAAGTGATAGCATTGCTCTTCTATTACAAGCTTACAAAATATCAGAACTTCCTTCTTGCTCAGATACCCCCCTTGCTTGCTCACTCCAAGACACTGTATAGAGAATTTCAAGTGACAAGAAACTTAGGGAGGCCTCTAGCCAATATCTCATGAGGAACTGAGGCCTCAGTCCAACAGTCAGCCAAAACCCAAAACTTGGGAATAATCATGTGAGTAACCCACAAGTGAATCTATCCCCAGTGCACTTGAGATACATGGGCCTGATGAGTGACCCAAAGCCAGAAGACAAGAGTTTAGCACAGCACTGTACCCACAGAAACTGTGACATAATAAATATTGGTGTATTAATCCATAAAGATTTATGATAATTTGCGATGTACATGTTTTCATATGTGAAATATTTCTTTACATTTTAATGAAGAGTGGTATCTGGTACTAGGAGAAAGCGATTCGGTCCCCAGAATAAGTTTGTAATGGTCGTATTGTGGGGCACTTATGGTTACACAAAAATACATGATTCCTACAAAGAAAAGGAATCTCTTGGACTTTTCCTCCTCTAAGTTGATTTTATAGGGTATTTTGGTCACAGTGATGAGAAGGTAACACACTTCACAAAGGCAAGAAATATTCATTATGATAACCTATTCAACTTAGCTGTTACTACATAACCAACCAACCCAAAACTCATCGCTATGGTTCCAGGGATTGATGATGATGATGGTGATGATGATGATGATGATGACGATGATGATGATGATGATGATAATGATGCGATGTGTGTGTGTTCATGTGGTGGCAGATGTTTGGAGCTAAGGCCAGAGTCAAAATCTTTTCATTCACAACTGACATTTGATACAGGATTTGTGGGACAGCAAGAGATGGATCAGACATCTCTCTTATCCTACATCCTCTCCCTGTGTGTATCTTGGACTTCCTTACAGCTTGGCACTTTGGGAGTGTCCTCCTTAAGATCTCTACAGCAAAAGCTCCCATATACAACTAGAAGTTGCACTGCTTCTTAACCTCAACTCAAAGATGTGAAAATGTCACCTGTACCATATTCCAGTGGTCAAACAAAGCACTAAAGGCCAGCCAGAGAAGAGGAATCGGATTTTACCACTTAACAAGAAGCAGCAAAATAAATGTTGACCCCCTTTTTGGTATTTACTTATATATTTATTTGTACCAGGGATTGAACCCAGGAGCACTTAACCACTGAGTCATATGACAAGCCCTTTTTTATTTTGAAACAGGATCTCACTAATTTTCTTAGGGTTTCCCTAAGTTGCTGAGCCTGGCTTTGAACTTGTGATCTTCCTGCCTCAGCCTCCTGAGCCATTGGAATTATAGGCATACATCATCACACCCAGCAATTGTGATCATTTTTAATCTACCAAAAAGTAAAAAAATTGGAATAGTTTATTATTGAAGCACAATTTATGCAATTCTGATCAACCCTCTGTCTTCCTTTCAGTAGTAGGTTGGGTGTTTTGAGGGAAAAGACAGTGGTATTTCTACAAAACAGAATGGGAACTCCCTCTCCCCTTTTATCTTTTGTGGGTAGGTGCCTGTGAGATGCTGATTTGTGCAAAATTGTGAGAATGATTTTTAAGCCTGCTACAGCCAAATGGTTTGATTTAAGTACCCTTAGAAGGTCATAAAATTTTGGTTAAACACATTCCAAAAGATTTTTAAAATGAGAATATTTGTGTAAACAAACCTGTAAAAATCTGATAACTATCTGTATTCTGAAACTGTTTTTGCTTGAATAATGAGTGTAGAAAAACAATTTTTAAGAGAGATAAAATCTTATGTTCTAATGATACCAAGTTTTAATACAGAGTTACCAATCAAAGACTTCAATAAATATGGCAACTTGGAACTTGATATTAGGCAGATAATCAATGAAAGGTAAGAAGATTGCATTCAGATCACAAAAATCTAAAATTATAAGTTATAGAAATAATGATATGCATTGATTTTCCTGTTGTGAATGGTGAAACTGGTATGGAAATATTAAATAAGCTAAGCAATGCTGTAAAATTAGTCTATAAAGTAATGAGAGTACAGGAATTTAATTACACAAACAGATTTGCTAAATGCCTTACAGGAACAAGAGGTGGATGGAGAATTTAAATAGGACACAGTAATATGTCCTAGAACAGATGGCAGAAGAAACCATGAAGGATGGAAATAAGCTGAAGTGTATGCAGACTAGTGACTAGAAACAAATCCAGAAGGAGACTCAATAAATCTCTAAGAAAGAAGCTTTGGGCCATGTCTTGATGAAAGAAAATCAACGAAGTTTCTACAGAACTAATAAATGAGCCCAGGAAAAGAGCAGCTGCATTTTAGAGAAAGGTAGGCAAATCAGTTCTCTTTCTATGTATCAGTAGGAATTTAATTAAAAATATAATATAGACAAAGATTTTATACAATAGCAACAAAAACTCCTTTTTTAAAAATTAAAAGAAACATATGAGATACAGGGAACATACTAGAGTACTTTTTTGACACAGAAGTAAATTTTCCCAAATTGATTTATAAATATAATGCAATGTGATTCAAAATCCAACCAAGGTCTTTTTTTTTAACAGAATTCTAAAAATCTGTCTTAATACTTATGACCAGTCAAAGGGATTTTGAAAAGAGCAATTGTGTAGGTCTTGGTCCTCTT